AACGGCTCTTCGCGACTCGAAGATGCGAATGCACGACAACTCTTGCGGCGCACCCGAATAATAATTCACTTCACGACACAATGGGCACTGGTGACTCACGCGCATCCACGGTAGCACGCAATTCGTGTGAAAAACGTGCGTGCACGGCAACTGCGAGAGCTCTTGATGAACATCGAAAGCCTCGCGACAAACGCTGCACGAATCTATGTTTGTGTCCTCATCAATGTGCACCGCGAGCAGTGCTCGCGCTTCGCTATCGGCAGCCTCAAATGCCGCGGACAATAATGCATCTTCGACGTCACTCGCGTCGTCGACGCGTACTTGAACTGTTTTCTCGCGCAAGAGCCATCGAAGCGCTAAATCAGCGCGCGTCATGAGAGTTCCCTGCGGTGCCTCGTCTTCTATGACGACATCGTGCGCATTGGCTTGCTCCATTTCCCAAACAGTCACGCTCCCATCCGAGCCACCGCACGTCAAAACATTCGCAAGCATGGACACGCAGTCGATGGACGATCCACTCGCCTGTCCTGAAATGATGTGCGTGCACGTGCCGCTCTGTACGTTCCAAAGGCGCACTGTCCCATCCTCACTGGACGAAGCAATAGTGTGCGCACTCGGCTCGATGAATTTTACCCTCGTCGCCGACTCGAGATCGGCTTCCGGATGAGACGAGCGTCGCATGACGTGCCTGACGTCGGCGACAGCGACGGTGCGACCTCCATCGGCGCGACTCAAAGAGGACAAGTCAAAGCACCCTAATGAACCATCCCGACACCCGTAGGCGAAGCGCGCGCGTCTTCGGTTGGCGACAATTGATCTCTCATTCGGAGAGTCCGGCGTCGTCACATCCGTCACCGCACCGAGATGTCCCATAAGGATCAAGCAGCACTCGCCCGTGCGCACGTGATAGAATCGCACCGTCCCGTCCATCATGCCGACGACGAGCACGCAGTGATCCGAGGCCGTTCCTGGCGCATCATCCGTGACGCATGCGTCAACGCATGTCGCGGAGCCCACGCCGTGGTCACGAACGTCGACCGATGTCAGGCATTCGCCGCTCTGAGCTCGCCATAATCGAACACTGCCGTCCGCGCTCGCGGTGGCTACGATGTCTCCGAACACGGCGTCCTCCGCCCAAACGCAGTCAACCACATAGTCGGAGTGTCCCCGGAGCGTGATCGGCGTTGTGCTTGGTCGTGCATCGTCTTCACCGTCGCTCCGTCGCGGCAGCGTCCATATTCGAGCGGTTTTGTCGTGCGACGCGCTCGCCACGCTCTCGCCTCTCACTCGAGCGCGCTTCACGCACCCGTCGTGCGCTCGCGCCCGAGCGAGCGGATCCCATCGTGCGCTCGCCCCTTCGCCCGCGCGTACTCTCGCCAATACTTCGCCGTCCGCGCTCGCCGTGAGCGAGATCACGCGTCCGTCGGAGGTTGTCGTCAAGTCGGCGGATTTCACGCAGGATGAATGTTCATTCGCGCGTCGTTCGACGACTGACCACGTCGACATGGAAGTCGACGTTCGGCGATCCACGAGCGCGTCGTCGCGACGCCTGACGTCGTCGTCGTCGACCATCCCGACTGAGAACCCGCCGAGGACGTGTGGCGCGACGCTGGTGTGGTGAACGAACGCCGGTTCGTAAGTGAGACCGCAACCGCACTCGACGACGTGATGCGCATCGGTGTCACCGCTCGCGCAAACATCACGACGACGAGCATCACGACGATGGGTCGTTCGTCGAGCGCGTCGTGCGCGATCAGACGCGCGATGGGCGCTTTGAACTCACAAAGATCCTTCTCGCTCGAAGAGCGCAAGAGAGCGCTATCGGCGGTGCGAAGACCGGAGGAAGAGGATGAAGCGGCGGAGGCGACGAAGAACGTGCGCGTCGACCGGGCGCTCGCGGCGTTGAAGTTTGAGCTCGACAGGGGTTGCGTGAACACGCGAGGCAAGACGAGACTGTTCAGTGATTTCGCAAAGGCTGAGCTCTCGACGATTGGGGAAGAGCTCAAGGCGAGCGCGAGACGAACGATGTGGAACGAGCGGTGTAGGTCGGCGTTCGAGAGGTACGATGAGCTCAATCCCATCGATCGTGAGTACGTCATCAACGCCGCTCGAGAGGTGTTGGAGATGTCAGACGCTGAGGAGAAGTCGCCGACTGGCAAACAGAGCCTCATTGAAGGGGACGCGTGGAACAACGCGTTGCAACAGGGACAGGTTAGACGGTTAGAAGTGGAGGCGGTGATGCGGAACGGCTCGTCAGAGCAGCAGGGGAGCGGTGCGTGGTTTCAAATCCGCGCTTCTCGTCTCACAGCGAGCGCGTTTGGCAACGCCATCGGCTTCTGGGCTGGTGGCAGAAACGAGCTGTGGGAAGAAAAGCTCGGCTTGCGCGAAGGTTTCTCTGGTAACGAAGCCACGGAGTGGGGATCTTCCAAGGAAGACGAGGCCGTGCGCGTGTACGAATCACTCACGCGTAAGAAGGCGTCGCATTTGTTGTTTCAATTACTTTCCAACGACGACGCGGAACTGTGGATTGGAGCTTCTCCAGACGGGCTCATCGGAACAACAGCCGCAGATATCGACGGTGAAGCCGGGGGTGTTCTTGAGATCAAGTGTCCTTTCAACAGAGGTTCGCCACAAACCGCGAAGCCGTACGACAAGGTGCCGTGGTATTACATTCCGCAAGTACAGGGGTTGATGGCGATATTCAATCGACCGTGGTGTGATTTAGTGTCCTATACCGTGAATGGTGGCGTCGCGATATACCGAGTGGAAAGGGATCACGAGTATTGGGCACTTTTATATTCGTGTCTGAGTGATTTCTGGTGGCAAAACGTCATCCCAGCGAAGCATGCATTGGCATCTGGCAAAGACCACGAGAAATATAGACCATCAAGCGAAAGCGATTTATGCGCTGAACTGAAGAACCGGAGCAAACAAATCTCCAGTAAGAGCCAGACAACCTGGATCCCGCCCGAAAAAGTTGCGCAGCTTCGTGATATGTGATCATCGACGCGCATGAAATATCGTGCCACCGTCGATTTTGATCCTCTCATCCTCGTATGTACCGAAATCAGTCGACGATTTGTACCACTCCACAAATCGTCGACTCCGACTCAACATTGGCTGCTTTCCAGGCACTCCGCGCTTGATTTCTCGCAAAATATCGGCGCAGCGAGCGATTTCTTCGTCTCCATCGTCCCCTGAAGCGATGGCGACGAAAATTCTACACATTGCGACTCGGTACGCTTGCCCGCTCTCAGAGTCATCGCTGAAATCGAGACGCATGTCGCCGTCTTCATCGTTCGTCCCCACGATTGAGCCCCAAACGAGCACGGGAAGAAGTGCGAGCTTTTGTAACTTTGAAGCGTACGCGCGCATGTTCAAGTTGTCGTATCTGTTTTCTCTCACAGTTAATAAAATTCTCTTGTACAATCCCGCGATGCACGCTGCAACGAGTCGGGACGAGAGCGGCAAGAGCACGACGCCCTCACGTGCTTGGGCGTAATACATCAGCGCGCGTTGGATTTGTAGCTCTATCGCGCACTTGTAATCGAATGTCGGCGTTTGCATCGACAGAACGTCGTCCCTCGTCATCCCTCCGAACAATTTCAAGTCCTCTTCGGCGATGTACACCCGTTCGCGGTCTCTCGCGTCTTCGCCGACGTCTCGCACGATGTTCGTCATTTGGAGCGCGATTCCGAGCGCGACGCCGCGCTCGCGTCTCTCGAAATCATTTGCATTATTCGTACCGATCGTGAGTATTGGTAGAATCATCAGTGCGACCGTTCCCGCGACTTGGTACGCATACGATTCCACCTCGGAAAACGTCCGAAACGCACCCGCATTCGGTTCGAGGTCGCGGCGCATACCGCGAATCATGTCCTCGAACGGCTCGCGCTCGAATCCCTGGACCGTTCGTGTCGCGTCATACAGTGCTAAATCCGCGTACGTTGCATCAGTTGGGACAGCTTGGCTGTCCCAGTCAAAAATCATTCGCAAGCGTTCCGCCACGCCGTCGAGCGACCGTGCGCGTTCGTCTGTCGTCAATCCAGACGCCGCTTCGCCGTCTACCAACTGGTCCAACTCCCTGCACCAGGCATACAGCGCGTAACTCTCCTCTCGACCACGTCCCATGAGCTTGGAGGCGAGAAAAAAAGACTTGGCGTACTCTCGGGTCGTCTCCTCAGCCATCTGCTTCGCTTCTTCGATCGATACAGATGACGACAAAGAGGCGGACGACGTCGCGTTTCGGACCGTTCGACGACGTGCACGAGCGCGATGGACTTCACCGTAATCGTGCGTCGCGCCGCACGACGTCGTCGAAGCGCATCCCCGCATCACGCGGCCTGGGGCTGAGTCGTGGAGTGACGCCCACGTCGTCACTCATCGGTGCGCGGGCGTCGTCTTCGAGGACGATCTCGAACAATGGCGCGCGACGACGAGGAGGAGAAGGACGACGACGACGACGCGACGACGACGACGACCGTTATTTTCCGTGACTTGACCGCGGAAAACAAGGAAGACTTGCGACGTCTCAACCAAATCATCTTCCCGGTGCGATACACGGACAAGTTTTACGAGGACTGCGCGCGAGCGGGCGCGGCGACGCAGTTGGCGTACGATAAAACGGGTAGGGAGCTGCTGGGTGCGATAGCGTGCAGGTTAGAGATGGATCCGACGAAGAATGGTGCGAGACTATACATCATGACGCTCGGCGTGTATGCGCCGCACCGAGACGGACGCATCGGAAGCCGACTCTTACAACACGCCCTGAACGCGGCGTCGGAGGACGCATTCATCCACGACGTCTACCTGCACGTGCAGACGAACAATATCCAGGCGATAGAGTTCTACGAGCGATTTGGATTTGAACAAGGGGAAGTTTTGAGAAATTATTACAAGCGCATCGATCCGCCGGACGCCGTCGTCCTGAGGAGAGACCTCGGCGCGAGTTGGACGCGTGCGGATCCGCCCGGGGTGACGTTCGAGCGAAACTTCGCGGCTTAGATAGTGTTGAATTGAATAGAATGATCTGTATATCGCTAAGTCATCGCGGCGCTGCTAAGCCTGCGAGCTAAAAATATGTTGGAATCGTGTACCGCATCACCGATCCCAGTCGAGCGCGTGTCGATACACCTCGTCGTACGTGGACACGAAACAAGCCTCCAGGCCCTCGCGAATATCTTCCGAGAGCTCATCGTAATCCTTCTTATTGCCTTGCGGGAAGATGATGGTTTTCACCCCGCTTCGTCGCGCGGCGATGGTCTTCTCTTTGATTCCTCCGACGGGCAACACGCGTCCTGTGAGAGTGAGCTCGCCCGTCATCGCCAGGTTAGGTTTCACTGGCTTGTCCATGGCGAGCGAGAGCAGACTCGTGGTGATGGTTACACCAGCGGATGGTCCATCTTTTGGCGTCGCCCCGGCGGGCACGTGCACGTGCAAAGATGTCTTTTGAAGGAAGTCGTTTCCGGGATCCTTCGATTGAAGGAAACCTCGAGTGAAAGTGTGCGCGATGGCGCTCGACTCCTTCATCACGTCTCCGAGCTGACCCGTCGTTTTCAGCGAGCCCTTACCCTCACCCGACTCCACCGAGGTGCACTCGATGTACAACGTGCTCCCTCCCATCGCGGTCCAAGCCAATCCAGTGACGACCCCCGGCGGAGTTTCGTCGTAAATGCGGTCCGTTTGGAACGGGGGTTGGCCTACGTAATCCACTAAATCGTCGACGTCGATGACGATGGGATCGAGAGTCGTGTCCGTACTCTTTGCGCGAGCCACCTTGAGCGCCACCTTGCGGTACACCTTTTCGAGATGCTTTTGCAAGTTTCTCACGCCCGCTTCGCGGCAGTAGTCGCCGATGAGCTTTGACATCGCCTCATCGGTGATGGTCGCGTCGAAATCAGACAGTCCGCTCTTTCCCTTCGCCGCCTTCTCGAGGTACGTGCGGGCGATTTGCACCTTTTCGTCGGTGATGTAGCCTGACAGACGTACAACCTCCATGCGATCCAGCAGAGGCCCGGGGATGGTGTCCAGGACGTTCGCCGTGCACACGAATAACACCTTGCTCAGATCCACCGGCACGTCGAGGTAGTGATCCAAGAACGTGCCGTTTTGTTCGGGGTCGAGCAGCTCTAGCAGCGCGCTCGCCGGATCCCCCTGGTACCCACGTCCGAGCTTGTCGATTTCGTCAATCAAAACCACCGGATTGCAGACGCCCGTCGATTTCAGGCACTGAATCAGTTTGCCCGGCATCGCTCCGACGTACGTGCGTCGGTGACCCTTGATCTCCGCGACGTCGCTCATGCCACCCACTGAGAAGCGGTAAAATTTACGCCCGAGTGCCTTTGCGATGGATTGCCCGATGGACGTCTTTCCAACTCCTGGCGGGCCGACCATGGTAATGATTTTTCCTTGCGTCGTCCCGAGCAGCTGACCGACGGCGATGAATTCCAAGATGCGGTCCTTGACGTCTTCTAATCCGTAGTGATCAGCGTCCAGCACTTCCTGCGCGTGCGCGATGTCGAGTTTCTCATCGCCGCACACACCCCAAGGAAGTGACGTGAGCCACTCGAGGTAGTTTCTCGTGACGTTGAACTCGCTGGACGAAGGCTCGAGACCGCTGAGTTTTTGAAGCTCCTCGTCAATCACCTTCACCGTCTCCTCCGGCACACTCTTGCGCTTGGGCTCGAACCTCTTGGTGAACTTCTCGATAAGTGCAGTTTTATCGTCTCGCTCCATCCCGAGCTCCTTCTTGATGGATTTCAACTGCTCCATCAAGAAGTACCTTCGCTGATCGCCTGAAATTTTGTCCTCAACCTTTTTCCCAATGTCCGCCTGCAGCTTCCCAATCTCCACCTCCTTCTTCAAAAGCTCGAGCGTAGCATCCAGTCGATCTTTTACCGACAATAACTCTAGCACGCGCTGCAGCTGCGCATCGTCGGCTGAACACATGGAGGCACCCAAATCGGCCAGTTTCGGCGGATCCTGGAAATCATTAAAGTTTTGCGCGAAGTACTGCAGGGTCTCCTTGTGCAGCGGATTCGTCTTGAGAAGATCCTTAATCGTCGCCACGACTTCGTTCGTCGTGGCCTTGATAATGTCGTCGTTTGCATCGAACTTCTCATCCTTGAGATGCTCCACCTGCACGACCAAAGGATCTCGCTTCATCGTGCCGAGCTTTCTCAGGCGCCTGTGACCGAGGAGCAGCAGCGTCGCCGACTCCTCCCCGTTCGGTGAGTCTGCCGGAAGGCGCACGATATTGTGCACTTGCGCGAATGTCCCGATGTCGTGCATGTGATCTGACGGATCCGCGCCCTCCTCCTCCTCTCCGTCCAAACCCACGGAGGCGACGGTTCGCTTCGTCAGAGCGTCGAATGCGTCCTCCTCTTTCCCCGCAGCCGAGGACGAGGACGATCCCTCGCTCCGCATCAAAAACGCCCCGACGTACGCCTGACCGCGGTTTCGCATGTCTTCTAGCTCGGCGATGAGCTTCTCATCCGTCACCTTGACCGGCATGATTATTCCCGGCATGAGCGGCCTCCTGGGCAAAGGCACCGCGAGCACCTGCGGGTGCGAGCTCGGGTGCGCCGCGCTCACCATGATTCCTCCGCTCGTCGTCGACGACGACGACGCGGACGACGTGCTCCCTCCATCACCCGCGCTCGCGAGTGTTTCATTCCCATTGGCCGTCGTCGCTCGCACGAACGCATTCTTCGACGACCCGCGCGCGCGCCCGACCCCTTCCGCCGCGACCGCCCCCGCGCCGAGTTCGTCCAACAGCGCCCTCGATCGCGTCGACCGCGCCCGGCTCGGCGCCGCGAGCGTCGTCACCGCCTGTCTTCGTCGAATCAACGCCCTGGCGAGCATGTGCGCCCGATCGATCCCGCGTCCGACGGTTGGCTCGAATGAATCGAATGAATGAATCAATTCGCCCACGTCCGCGGTCGTCGCCCCTCGACGACGTCGACGACGTCTCCCAGCGCGACGACGCGTTCGCGACCGCGAGCGCTCGGTGGACGAAGGGAAATTCGATGCGCGGAAACGCGACGGGACGCGATCGCCCGCTCGCGCGTCGACGCGCACTCACGTCTTCGTCGCGGACGCGCGTGATGACGCGAACGGTCCGCGGTGGGGTGCGCGTGGATGTGCGTTCGAGCGACACTTCGCCGTGGACGCGCGCGCGGTCGATCGTCGACGCACGTCCGTGCGCGCGCGCGCGATGGATTTCGCGGGGCAACGGCTGAGCGAGCGACTCTCCGCGATCGGCGTCGGCGTCGGCGCCGCGGTGAGCTTTGCGTACGGGTACACGCGAGGAGATTACGACGGGATGATTCGACTATTTTTTGCGTCTGTCCTCGTCACGGGGTTCATTACGATCCCCGCGTGGCCGTTCTTATACGCGCGGAACCCAGTTCGTTGGAGAGAGTCGAAACCGCGCGCGAACAACGGGGAGAAGAGGCGGAAGAAGAGACGCGGGTGAACCCGCCGCGGGCGCGGCGGAGCGGCGGAGCGGGCTAAGTGTGTGGGGTGTTAGACGAGTTATTGTAGCATGTATGTGATTCTGACTAAAAACTATTGGTAATGTACTGTGCTGGCGAGGGTATCTCGACGGCGGCGCGCGGCTTCGCGAGACGACCGACGAAGCGTCTCGTCGATCCATCGTCGGCGCGTTTGTTCGCGTTTCAGTCCTCGACGGATCCGGCTCGCGCGCAACGTCGAAATCGAGGATATCTATCCGATGATCATTTTATCGTCCTCCAAGAACTTGTACGCCGGAATTTCGAGGTTCTCTGGAGCCGGACCCTTGCGAATGCGCCCCGAGGCGTCGTAGTGCGAACCGTGGCACGGGCAGAACCACCCGTTGTAGTCCCCGGCGTTCGCGATCGGAACGCAACCTAAGTGCGTACACACACCGACGGCAACCAGCCACTCCGGGTTCGACGCGCGCTCGGCGTCGGCTTGCGGGTCTCTGAGCGACGCGACATCCACCGCCGCCTCGCGCGCGATTTCAGCCGGCGTCCGTCTGCGGATGAACACCGGTTTACCACGCCACTTCACCGTCACCGTCGAGCCGAGCTCAACCTTGCTCAGGTCAACCTCCAGAGACGCCAACGCGAGAACATCGGCGGAGGCGCTCATTGAGAGCAAGAACTTCAGCACCGCCAACCTCAGGGCGCTGGCGTAAATCATTCGACCGCCAGAGACGACGAAATACGTAAACGCGCGCTTATCCGGATCGCCCGCCTTGAGCACAGTGTGGTTAGAGACATCATAATCAACATCGTGGTTCGGCGTCTTCATCGCCCGAGCGATCGAGCCGGAGTTCACCGTCGTCGCCGAGTATCCTGTGGAGACGGGAAGAGAAACTACGTGTCAGTGATCGAGCAAACCACCTCGCGCGGTATAGAGCCATCGCGTGGCGTTGACACGCGCGAGCGACGTCGCGATTGACGATCCACTCGGGTGAGCGAATAAATCGAAATACGAAGACTCTCACGGAGACGTGATCGAACGCGATGGACGCGCGCACGAACGAACCTCTCGCACGAACGTCCATCGCTCGGACCGACCCGGCCGCGATCGCGCGATACGCGAACGGCGCGACGGACTCCATCGTCGGCACCGTGGCGCCGAGCGAAGCGCGCGCAAAAACGCTCGCAACAAACTTCGTTCGCGACATGATCGTCGCGCGAGGCGTCGTCGCGCACCGAGGACTCCAGAGCGCCAGAGATCGGGCCGAGGCGCGAGGGGTCTTTCCGCGTACTCGCAAAATCTCCGAGTTAACGAACGTAGGGAAGTACATCGCATTGCGTGATTGTGTACGGTATCAAGAGAATTGAGTAAATTCACACCGTGAAAACCCTAGCCATCGACGCGCACACTCGAGACGCGTCTTGAACACTCTCTCCGCACGCGTCTGTCGCCAACTCTCGTCGATGAAGACGTCCTCCCACGGCGTGGTTTGGGTCAAGGTACGATGGCGCGACGTGAATACGACGTGCGCGATTGATCAGAGACGCGATCGACGCCTTCGCCTCGACACGTTCGCGAACGATGACGACTCGGTGACGGAAACAATCAACTGCAATCGAGACGATACATTTCAAAGTGGCGCGTTCGGAGCTCGGAGAGCGCGCACTGACCGAGCGATCGTCGTCCGTCCTCGAGCGCAGGCCAAGTCGGATCGTGGATCGTGGTGGCCGGCGAGCGAGGTGAGCGATCGAAATGCGGCGATCGAGAGATTAGGAGAGTTGGCGCTGAGGCACTTTGAGAAGCGAAACGACGCGCGCGTGTTTCAATACTTTGGCTCAGGCGGGTCGTACGAGCTGGAGAAGACGTCGACGGCGTGCGTCGCGTGGGAAGAGGGTTTAGAGCACAAGTATCACCAAATGAAACCGCTGAGCGCGAAGCGCGCGAAGGCGATCGAGAATGCGTTTGCGTTTGCAGAGCGAGGAGATTTGAGCGCCGAAATCGAGGCGAACGTCGTCTGGTGGAGTGAACCGCTTCCACCGCCGATAGAGTGCGTAGAAGAAGTCGCAGTGGTAAGTCGGCGTAAGAGAAGTCGTGAGGCAGAGGTCAATGTCGAGGCAGACGACGTCGAGACGCCCGTCAACGATGGGGATGAGTTCAAGTTTCCAATAGCCGCGAGCGAATTTAGAGCAGGCGTCAAACGCACCGAGTACACGCCGCCATTAAGCGTGCTCAGCATGGGCAAGCCAGCTGCTTACGAGCGTATAAATCGCAGTACTTTCGTGAGTGTGCCGCCGCCGGTGAAGATGCACATATCTGAGTCAGCGACGTGTGAGTGCAAGCAGCCGCTGCGAGACGGGGGCGGCACGCCTACACTGCGCAACGGATGCGGACCGGAGTGCATCAACAGGAAATTGAGATTTAGCTGCGATAGCCGAACGTGCCCGTGCGGAGACGCGTGTAGTAATCGACCATTGAGTCAACTGCCGACGCCGAAGACGAAGATTATTCGCACGGAGAACAGAGGATGGGGATTGATGCTGCAAGAGCCCGTGACTGCCGGCACGTTCATAGTGGAGTACACGGGCGAGATTTTGAACGAAGCCGACGTCGCAAACAGGCTCTGGCTCGACAAGCAAGAAGGAGAAGAGAACTTTTACCTCATGGAGATCTCGACGAATTACGTTATAGATGCGAAGTTTAAAGGCTCGCTCGCCAGGTTCATCAACAGCGGATGCCATCCGAACTGCGAGACCCAGCGCTGGGTCGACGCATCGACGAATGAGACGCGAGTTGGAATCTTCGCGATTGAAGACATTCCGGCGGGAACAGAGTTGACGTACGATTACCACTTTGCTCACTTCGGAGACGCCAGTGCGACGTCTTTCGTGTGCATGTGCGGGCACCCAAAATGCAGAGGCACACTCGACGCAGCCAAGCGAGAGGCGCACTTCCATCGAAGGATTCGTGTCGAGGCGATGCTCGCACCGAAAAGCGCCGGACCAAAGGCAAGGAAGAAAAAGCAATACGTCAAGGGGACGATCGTCGATCATGATCGGGCGAAGAACAGATATAAGGTTGAGGTTGACGCGAGCGCCGACGAGGCTGAGCGAGTCTGTATCTGGGTGCGTCTCGAAGGAGAAGGCGCGGCCAAGCACGCGTGGTTGAAGTAACGATCGATTGTGGTCCATTAGCGCGCCGAGAGTGTAATGCGTGTTACAGACTGTAACAGATTTTCGTACATGGTGCGCGTGAGTGATGATGCGTCGCTCGATTCCGCCGTTTTTGCGTCTCGCCGTCGTTTGCGCTCTCCGTGCGCGCTCTTGCTTCCCAGAGACCTCCTCAGAGAAGGACGCGCCCTCGAGCGTCGTCGTCTCGAACGCGCACGAGTCCGTCGCATCGTAAACGCTTACTGTCACGGTCGTTATGTCCGTCAAATACGTCCACGGTGCGACCGTAAAGAGCGGGAAGACGTCGTCGGGTGAAAATTTCGGCCCTGGGGAAATCTTCGCGTATGACGAATCGTCCCAAATCTTAACTCTACGAAAGCTCGGTGAGCTCTCGAACTCGTACGACTTGGAGTTTGTGAACGTCAAAGATGCATCAGAGGTCGTGATCGACGACTCGACGAAGAGCGACGCCAAACCGTGCCCGAACGTGGACGAACCTCGACGGGAGCGCAGGTTTGAGAATGCGTGTCGAGCGGCGCGCGCAATGGCTGATAACGTGGGCGAGAACGTCAGCGCGCTGGCGCAGGATGTCTTCGACGCGTTAGCGCGCACATTGCCGTGCAGATGGAACGGAGATGTCATCGTCGTCATGGACGAGGTGGAGGTGCGAGGACCAAAGTACGACGAGGCTACAGGCACCGGCCAAACGCCTGGGGCGGCGGAGCGCGTCGCGAAGGTGCTTTCGCTCGAGCGCGCGCGACTAGGTGTGTAATACTCCAAATCAATGCAGACTAGCTATTTCAAGTTTCTCGCCGGCGCGAGCGACAGACGACGCATGCGATCGACGGGCCTGGAGCACTTGACGCATGGACAATCCACCGGCCGCTCGAGTAAGCGCGCGCGGAGGCAATAGTAACAGTATGGATGTCCACACGGATCGGCGACAAATGGGTGCACGGGTTCGGCGCATCCACACGCCACGCACCGATGGGCCTGCACGACGACGCGCCCGCGCCCGCCCGCCCGCCCGCCGTCCGCGCTCGTCGTCGAGGCTTCGCCACTCGTCGAAGAGCCGAATGCGCCGACGAACGAACGCACTCGCGAGTTGTACAAGTACGGCAGCGTGAACAAAACGAGCTCCGAGAGCTCGCGCCAAGCCAATTGCTGATTCAGGTACTCGAAATCCACCACTCGCGCCATCGACGGTCTGCTGTACACCAGTCGAGCCCCTAGAAAACGCTCCAAGAGCGTCGGGTAACGACCGTATCGCAGAAACACGCAAAAGTTTACGAAGCTCGCCACGACGTGCGCGTCCTCCGCGGCTCTGGACCATCGCCACGCGCGTTGTTTCCATACGCCTCGCCCGTCTTCGTCTTCGTCCATCGCCTCGTCGTACCGTTCGCGCGCCATTTTCGCCATCCACGCGTTCCACGCGAACGCTCCAGCGCACTTGACCGCGCCGTACGCCAGACGCTGCGTCACAGTGAGCCCGTCGCCCTCCACCCCGGTCTTGGCGGTTCGTCTAAATTCTTCGTCTCGTTCCGCCCTCCTCTCGTCTCTGAATCGAAGATTCATCAGTTCCTGCCCCGGCGTCGGCGCGTTTCGCATCGTCGTGCACGCGAACGTCGCCGCGTCTAAGAACAGTTTCGTCCTCTCCCTCGACGCGAACGTCGTTCGAGCCCGTCTCCGCGACGACATCGAATCATTCACATCGTCACCACTCCCACACGCGCTCGTCGCGCACAGCGTCAACGCGTCGACGCATCGAACCAACTGGTCGTGTAAAATCTCCAACAACTCCTCGTCCAAGCGCTTGGCGTCCACTTGGGAGACTCGCAAGACGTGCAACTCCGGGAGCGCCGCCGCCGACGACGACGCCGACGCCGACGCCGCCGACGACGACGCGCGCGTCTTCGTCACCGCGCGCGCGCGCGTCTCCATCACCGCGTCGACGACGATTGACGCGCGACGATGACGCGATTGATTGTTTCCGAGCGTCGCTCGACTTCGCAACGCATCCACGCCGCGTCGTCCTCTCGCGCGCGCGCGGTGCGGTGCGGTGCGGTGCGGTGGGTGCGATGACCGCGTCGAGATGCATGCGTCGAGCGTTCGCGTGCGCGTCGGCGTCGATGCGCGCGCACGGCTCACGCGCGGCGTCGGCGTCATCGCGCATCGCCGCCGACGCGACCGCGGTCGTGACGACGTCGTCGGCGCTCTGTGCGCGCGCGAACGCGTCTCTCGGAGCGTCGGCTCGACGGATGCGCGCGATGTATTCGACGATGTCGACGACGACGGCGGAGCGCACGCGAAACGTCGCCGTCATCGCGCACGTCGACCACGGGAAGACGACGCTCATGGACGCTTTGATGAAGCGCGCGTCGGGTGGCGCGTCGTCGGATGAGCGAGCGATGGATTCGAGATCTTTGGAGAAAGAGCGAGGGATCACGATCTCGGCAAAGTACACGAGCTTACATTTTGAGCTCGAGGGATCCGGGGGGTACGTGGTGAACGCGGTGGACACGCCGGGACACGCCGATTTCGGCGGCGAAGTCGAGCGCGCGCTCGACATGGTGGACGGGTGCTTGTTGTTGATCGATCCGAGCGAGGGTGTGATGGCGCAGACGAAATTCGTGCTCAGAAAGGCGTTAAAGAAGGGATTGAAGCCCATCGTGGTTTTTAATAAGGTGGATCGAGACGGTGTCACGGAGGCGTCGTGCGCAAAAGTGGAGACGGAAGTATTTGATTTAATGGCAGCGCTCGGCGCGAATGACGAACAACTAGACTTTCCGGTGGCGTACGCCTCGGCCCGAGCGGGTGCCGCGTCTTCGATCTCGGTCAACGACGCACAGCGTCAAATCATCGAAAATAGAGCCAGCGTTGACGCCATATTGCGACTCGTATGCGATCGCGTGCCGCCGCCGAGCGGAGATGCGAACGAGCCATTCTCGATGCTGGTATCAATGATCGATCGTGATCCATTCCTCGGACGCGTCGTCACCGGACGCGTCGTCAACGGTTCGCTCAAAGTAGGGGATAGAATTAACGCCTTAAAGCTCGCGGATGGTAGCGTTCGAGAGACGGCGCGAGTCCAAAAAATCTTCACGTCAAAATCTCTGAGCCGGGTGGAAATCGATCGATGCGTCTCCGGCGACATTGTCACCATAGCCGGCTTCTCCGGAGCCACGGTCACGGACACACTGTGCGACGTAAGCGTCGTAGATCCATTAGCATCGACGCCAATCGATCCGCCGACGCTTCGTATGATGTTCAGCGTGAACGATTCGAGCTTGGCGGGAAAGGAAGGCAAGCAGCTAACAGAACGCCAAATCGAGGAACGGTTGCGCGCAGAGGCCGAGACCGACGTCGCCCTTCGCGTGGAGCCACAAGCTGGACGAGGGATCGAAGTTCAAGGACGAGGAGAATTGCACCTCGGTGTGCTGATCGAAACTATGCGACGCGAGGGCTTTGAGTTGAGCGTCTCGCCCCCTACTGTGATTTACGCAACGGATGAAGACGGACGAAAGACGGAACCACTCGAAGAATTGATACTCGAGGTGGACGCGAACGACGTTGGGACGGTCATTGAAGCCGTAACCCATCGTAAGGGTGAGCTCAGCGATATGGAGCCGAACGCGGGCGAAGAAGGTCGCACGCGTCTGGTCTTTGTCGCGCCTTCGCGCGGTTTAATCGGCTTTCGCCAAGATTTCATCAACGCGACGCGAGGTACAGGGTTGATGCAGCGCGCGTTCCACTCCTACGGCGCGGCACGGGGAAAGATGGACAAGGTGAGAAAAGGCATGTTGATCTCCACCACGTCCGGCGTCACGACGACGTACGCGCTTGGCGCGCTCGAACCGCGAGGGACGCTCTTCGTCGGCCCGGCGGAGGAAGTGTACGAAGGGATGATTATCGGCGAACACTCGCGAGAGAACAACTTAGAAGTGAACCCGACCAAGGAGAAAAAACTTACGAACGTTCGAGCCGATGGAAAAGACGACACTGTTCGATTGACTCCTCCGAAGGCGATCAATCTCGAAGAGGCGATAGGGTACGTCGCCGAGGATGAACTCATCGAGGTCACGCCAAAGGTCATTCGTCTTCGCAAGGCTGAGACATCGAGCTCGATGCGCCGTCGTAACTCTAGGCACGCGAGCGCGTAGACACACTCATTTCTAAATCAATATCGTAGCGTATTAGTAGCGTATTCTTTATCCGTCGTCGTCGTCCTCGGACGCGCGCGACGTCCGAGCCGCGTACAAGCCCACACAAAAGCCCAGCCGCCAGCCGCACTGCGGGACGCCCATGTCTTCCGTCTCACGCGTCGCCGCCGCTCGCGCCGTGTCGGCTCTGATCGCGTCCACGACGACGCGCGCGTGTGCGGCTAAACCGTCTCCGTATCACCGCGCGCACACGCGCTCGGTCGTCGTCTCCGTCAACGCACGGCGACGCGGCGATGGGATTAAAACCAGAGCTGGAAACGAACTCGGTCGTGAGCGAGCGGCGGACTTGGCGAGCGGGAGCGATTTCGGCCGAGGGGATGAATCCGATGATCCGTTAGTACACATGGGACGAGTGAACAAATCGGCGTTGAAGCGCATAGGTGCGTTCGAGGTCGTGACGACGCGTGGTTCACGGCGAGGAGAAGACTGACGAGACGACGCTTCGCTCGTCGACGACGCGCAGCGCAGGATCAGAGAGCGCTCGCGGTGGCGCTGTTGGGATTACCAAAGTCCCAAGTGACACAAATGCGACGGTTCTTACCGGAGGATGTCGTGGAGCTCACTTTACAGGGAGCACAGATCACTAGGAAGAAGAGGGTGGCGTTCAAGAGACACGAGGGGGCGCTCGCGAGGCGTCTGCGCGCGTTAAACGACGGTGAACGAGACGCCTTGGCGGCGGCGATTCAGCAGATTCAGACTGGTACGAGCGGGGCGATCAACCCTAATGTCGAGAATACGGCAACATCTTGGAGGAACATGCTTCTCAAGGGGAGTGAGGACGACGCGTTGGCAGCGAGGGATGAAATTTTTGCCGCGCTCGATTCCAGAGACGTGTGGTCCTTCACCAGGCAGGAGCTCATGCGCGCAGTCTCGGACGCGACCACGGAGAACGCGATCCGCGAGGAACAGATCGCTCTATTCAAATCCGCAGTGGACGAGGAGATGAAGCTTTTATCAATCGGAATAGAGGACGAGGAGTCGCTCAATCAAACGCGCGCGTACGCCGCGAACGCGCTCAAAAACCGAAAAGGGTCAGGTTTCGACAAGGAGCCCAGCGTGACCAAGTCCCGAGCGCTTCTCAAGCTCTTGCGAATCGTCGCCGAGGCCGCGGTGTAGACTATTTAATTTTGTATCGTCATTCATGGTTGCGAAAAACCCCTTTCCTTCGTCCTCCATCCTCTCGCGCGGTCAACGCGAGTCAACGCGTGTGGTGGTTCTCCACAAAGTCTTCGCGTCATTCGTACTGGTTCACAGATCTCACCCCTCACACCTCGCTTCGCGCACTTCGACGCTCGAATCATCGACGACCGAGTCGTACGCGAACGCTCGTCTCTTCGTCCACGCCGTCGACGCACGTGACCGAACGCGCGCGCGATGGCGAGTCCGTACGGCGCGGCGCCGATCGTGGTGATGAATCAAAACGCCAAGCGAGAGACCGGCTCGATCGCTCGTGAGAATAACATTGCGGCGGCTAAGGCGGTGAGCGATATCATTCGCACCACGCTCGGTCCTCGATCGATGCTAAAGATGATCTTAGATGCCTCGGGAGGTGCGTGAAGACGACGAGACGAAGACGAGACAGACGCGACGGAGCGCGCAGAGCCGTCAGTCGACGGCTGCGAGACGCGACGCCGCTGACGCTCGGTCAATTGAGACCGACTCTTTGGGACGAAATGACTGACTCAGACGGCGTATGGTGCTTGATTCAAACGCAGGAATCGTTCTCACGAACGATGGAAACGCGATTTTGCGTGAGATTGATGTCACGCACCCGGCGGCGAAGAGCATGATTGAGCTCTCGCGGACGCAAGACGAGGAGACCGGTGACGGGACGACGTCGGTGATCATTCTCGCCGGGGAGATTTTACACCTCTCGCAACCGTTTTTGGAGAAGAACATTCACCCGACGGTGATCGTTCGGGCGTACATGAAGGCGTTAGACGCGGCGCTCAAGGTGATTGACACGATTAGTTTTCCAGTGGACACGACCAACCGGGACGAGATGTTGAAAATCGTTAAGACGTCCATTGGGACCAAGTTCACGGCGCGCATGGGTGAACTCATCCCGAACCTCGCGCTGGACGCCGTGATGTGCGTGGCGAGGAAGAACACGGACGGAACAAATGATATAGACATAAAAAAGTACGCCAAGGTTGAGAAGATCGCCGGCGGCTCCATCGACGACTGCAAGGTTTTAAAGGGGGTGATGATGAACAAGGACGTCGTGGCTCCGGGTCGCATGAAGCGTCGCATTGAAAACCCTCGCATCATGCTTCTTGACTGTCCACTCGAGTACAAGAAAGGGGAGAACCCAGACCAACGTGGAGATCACGAAGGAGGAGGACTGGGCAGTGTTGCTCAAGATGGAGGAGGAATGGATCAAGGAGACGTGCGCGAAGATTGCTGAGTTCAAACCGGATCTCGTCATCACCGAGAAGGGTTGCAGTGATTTGGCGTGTCATTACTTGTCAAAGGCGGGGATCTCAGCGCTTAGACGCGTGCGTAAGACGGATAACAATCGCATTGCGCGTGCTGCAGGCGCCACCATTGTCAACCGCGTCGAAGAGATTCGTGAGTCCGACATCGGCACCGGTGCCGGCTTGTTCAGCGTGGAGAAGATTGGTGACGAGTACTTCACTTTCATCGTTGATTGCAAGGAGCCTAAGGCTTGCACTATCGTCCTTCGTGGGGCGAGCAAAGACATTTTGAATGAAATCGAGCGCAACCTGGTTGACGCGATGGGTGTGGCGCGCAACGTCGTGCAGGATCCGCGTCTTCTGCCCGGCGGAGGCGCGGTCGAGATGGCGGTCTCTCGCGCGATTGCCGAGGAGGCGACAAAGATTGAAGGCGTTGAACAATGGCCGTTCCGCGCCATCGGCGCTGCCCTCGAGGTGATTCCACGTACGCTTGCCCAAAACTGTGGCGCCAACGTCATTCGAACGCTCACCAAGCTTCGTGCCAAACACGCCGAGGGCGACGCTGCGCGCACGTACGGCATCGACGGTGTAAAAGGTACGATTGCTGACATGAAAGAGCTAGGCGTTTGGGATCCGCACGCCGTTAAAGTGCAATCCATCAAGACTGCAGTCGAGAGCGCCGTGATGCTCCTTCGCATCGACGACATCGTGAGCGGTTTGTCTCAAAAGAAGGACGCCGACGCCGCTGGCACGGGTACTGGCGTCGCCGTGGACGACGATGAGTGATCGCGCACTCGCACTCGATGATCGCTAGTAATTAGCTCGACGTTTTGTGACCGAACGGCACTAAACTTTGTTCCTCTCGTTCCCGAAACTGAACAGCGACCGCACGACGGTTTAAAATTAAATTCTACCCACACTTCTCGACATGTCTTCGCGAGACAACGGTTCCGCGGCGACGCCGTCCGCGCCCTCAGTTAAAGAGGGAGTGAAACTTCGACGCGTCGTACCGATGGACGTGATACACGCCGTCACGACCGCGACGTGTCCAAGAACGTCGAGACTTTTGCTCCAAGCTTTTCCCGAGCGCTCGCACGATCGCGTCGAGCTCATCTCTCGATTGATCGCCCTCGGGTTGATCACGTACGGCGAACACGCGGTAAATTACCGGGTAATGATGCAAACGGCGCGGTGCTGGAGCGGGATTTCCAGTAGAGACGCGAGACAGACGGCGATGGCGATCGTCAAAGCTTTTGGATTAATCGCTCTCGTAGGCGAACCCTTGCGTCTGTCCAAGAGGACGTATCGAGCGCTGTTGCGACGAGAGATGGCGATGCGATTCGGAAACGCTGCGGTGCAGAAAATGTTGAGCGACGAAGTTTTGGCGCGAAATCTGTCGACATCGACGTCGGAAGGAGGAGACGCGCCAGGCACAGCGGCGGTTGGTGCGCCAGCGTTTGGTCAGAGCGCATTCGATGTCGCGGCGAATGGGGTCGAGGCGTGCGTCGGATTACTGTACAACACCCAGTGTCTGTTTCTGAGTAGCTTTTGGAGCGCGCCCTTTTTGATCGGATGCGCGGTGTTCGGACAGGTGCAGCAGAGCACTCGCGCGGCTGACGGATACGACGCGAAACGCGAGGCACATCGCGCAGAGACGGCATCAACGAGGCTTCGAGAGCTCCTCGCGCATGCGGAGCAAAATGGAGAGGCAATAGCTCTCGCGAACGGAAGCTTCACAGAAACGGAGGAGGCGATGGCGACACTCGAGGCGGGACAAGAGTTTGCCTACAGGCGAGAAGTTTTGAACGCAAGGACAAACTTCGCATGTGAGGTGTACAACTCAGCAGCAGTTTTAGTGCCTATTGCGTCTGTCCTACCACGTCTCATACGTGGGGTCGCGGTCGAGCTCTGGGACTTGCAGGTGGCGATCATGTCGTTCAATGGCTTTCGCGCTGCGCTCCGCAGCCTTGTGGAAAACATGTCAACACTGAGGACGGCGGAGGCGCACGCGATGCACGTCTCAAATTTGCACGATGCTCTCGATGCCGTGACGTCTGGCGATCATGAGCGCGGGTTATCGAGCGTTCACGTCAATACACCCGAAGATGACATGTCGCTCATAGAAGTCGAATCGCTCACTGTGCAAGACTACGAAGGGCGTGACATCATTCGTGGGCTCGACTTTGTGCTCTGCCGCGGTGGCTCACTCGCGATTGTCGGCTCTGTGGGATGCGGTAAGACGCTTCTTGTGAAAACTCTCGCGGGCTTATGGAGTAACGGCCGTGGTGGCGTTCGACTCATTAGCCGCACACGCTCGTGCGTGCTATCCAGGAAGCCATACCTCCCCAGAGGCACTTTGCTTGACATCTGCGTGTATCCCACGTGCGCCGCAGACATTGGCGTCGAGACACACGAGTTATTGGTGCAAGTCATGCTAGCTCTTGGACTCGGACGCCACATCGAATACCTCGACGTGATAACGGCATGGGATGATAAATTGAGCTTGAGCGAGCAGCAGCGTGTCGCAATTTGCCGCGCTGTGGTGAACCGTGCTGAGCTGTGCATTCTCGACGACGCGACGTGCGCCATGGATCCAACCGATCGCGTGGCGGCGTACGACATCCTGAAGAAGCACGTTGGTGGCGTTTTGAGTCTTGGCGACGAGGTCACTTTGCCAAAGTATCACGACAGAACGATTCGTCTGCATGCAGACGGTACTTCAAGCGAGTTCACAGATATCGCCTCTCCGATGAAAGGGGGTTCCGTCGAGGGTGTTGCTAACACGATCTCGCAAGATAGTTTCTCTGAGCGCACTAGCACGTCAGTTTCAGCTTCTCAGGCGAAAGAATCCCCGGCAAAGAGTGTGAATACATTCAATCCTCTGCAAATGGACGCAAGCAGGAGAGAAAATCAGTTCATACGGCAGCAGAAGAAAAATGTTGCCCGTGTGCTGGGCGTGAAACCTGAAAAGCTCGGTGTCGTCCCTACGCCGACGAAGCAGCAGAAGAGAAGCCCAGCCACGGGGAAGAATCTATCGTTCGATCCGCTGAATTAGGTGAGCTCAACGTGTTATCATTTACATGTGTCGTCGTTTACAAATGAGTCTAACTAAATGAAACCGAATCCTTCGCACCCCTCGACGATCGCGTACAATAGACGCTCTCGAAGGATTTCCTTTGAGCTATACTCATGCAAATCGAGTTGGTTGAAGCAAGTATGCGCCGATGGCAGCTTGGAGTCATCTGCGTGTTGTCGATGAATTTGAAACTTTTGGGGACCTTGCATCCCCTGCAACGCGCTGAACCCCTCAAGGGGAACTTTAGACGTGCCCGTACAAAACATGAGCAAACGTGCCAAGTCCTCTTTGGACATTTCTCGAACGATATCCCAGAACCAACGAATCTGTCTCGACCCGACGTTGAAACCTGTATACTCAGTGTTCGCGTACAAATCTTCTACATCGATATCTGGGGTACCGCTAATCATCAACTCGAGTTCGGCTGCGTTGAACAGAGAAATAGTCTCCCTCGGGACCACCTCCTCAAAGCCCTTTACAAACGCAGCGAGTTGATCTTTCACGGCGTTCGTCATCCGATACGCTGTGACTAGATTGACGTACTCAAATTTGTTTTCATCAGTCACGGTGATGTGCCGCCCGTTTTCGACTAAATCGTACACCTGAGTCTCACCGAAATACGAAGTCGTTTCACTAAATGTGTACTCCATCACACCGTCGATCGAGTTCTCCAACATCCATTTCAGACTCTTGTAATAATCAGGATCGACGCCCTCCATGTCTTCGTACGTGAGAGCTTGACCGAGTAAGTGCTTGTAGATCGGCCGTGTGAAGTACGCATTAAGAAGGATGTCGTCCACGAGCGCCTTACCCACGAGTCTACCAACAAAGCGGAAGTAACTGAGGTACTCTGGGTGGACCACACTGTTTGGGTTCGGCTGGTAGCAGCCCTTGTCGTGCGACAGTTCGAAGAGAGCAATGTTGGGATTGAACACTTCTCTGGCCAGAATGCTGAACCATTCCTTGATCAAACCGCCGCCATCCAATCCTTCTTCACCAACGAAAACGATACTCAACTTACCGCGAATCTCATCCACACTCCGATTGCTGAGCTGACGGAACGAGTCTTCGAGGATGCGATCTCTTCTTATGTGCAACTGTCGATTCTCCGGTCGATTCACAGAGCGTTCTCGAAGCTTCTTGATGCGCGATCGAACCTCGGCTCGTTTCACTGAGAAATCAAGTAATCTCGGGTTATGCAGTAGAATCCTCATAGACCCAGACAGTAGTTGAGGATTCGCCTTCAGTAATCCGTTCAGTAGTTCTTTATGTGCTTCTACAAAGACCCAAAGGTCGCTCAAAATGACAGCGGTTTGCGCGTTTGCACCTCCCGCGTTAGAAAGAGCCTCGAGCGCATGACTTGAAGAGCGCTGCAACGATGAGCTGCGAGCGCCGTGTCGTCCAAGAGCCGGCGATGGTGCCCGCAGTATACTCGGCGTAGGGAGAACAAAAGAACCAGACTCCCTCCTGTTCTTTGTGATCTCGCCCTCAAGGAACGGAAATAGGTTTGTTCCGAGAGTCAAGTACGCAGTGATACCTTCTGTGAGCGTAGCGGCGTGACTTGTTCGCGTAAAGTCGATGGGTCTGTTCCGCGTCAGCACTGCATGCGTGTTAAGCATCGCCCAAAATGGACGCAGCTGATGGTGGTATCGCACAAGTTCGTCTCTGATTCTCGTATCGAGTGGATTATCGGCGCCATCTTCCGTCCTTGAATGAAATCGAAGAACCTGCACGAAGCATTCTGTAAGACGAAGCAAAAGTGGAACTTGCTCTTTGACTGTACTCCGTGCTTGAGCCATCTTTTCCGACTCCTCAAGAGAAATGCATGAGTCGTGTGGTTCCGCATTCGCAACCACTGCTGCTCCGTTAGCCACGACATCATCTGCACATTTTCCTGCGTCGACATGAATACGTTCAAGAATTGCGACAGTGACACTCTCCGGACAGGCTCGAGAAATCTTTTCGAGTACACTGTAGATTTTTTCATATGCATTCGACGTGAGGTAAGGGGTGCTGAGATACGTCACGAGATCTGCCGCCAAATGAGGAAACTTAGGTAGGACCTCGCTGAAAACCGTAGATTCGCCCAAAGACCGCTTCACAGCCGCGTGTTTCGTCAAGTATACGTCTAGACAAGAGCACCAGGTCTCAACAGCCTTCTGATCGAACGTACTCCGCCAAAATTTCACTTCATAAACGAGCATCCTGAGAAGTATCACTAATATGGAGATGTCTGCGGTGGATGTACCATCGTTGGCTGTTTGCGTCGCTTCAGACGCGACGTCGATGAGTTTCTCGACTGTTCCCAAGTCTGAAGGGGACATACTAGGCGCATCGTCCGACGTGAGGATTGGAATCAAACACTTCGTTGAGATCTTTGGCACTACGGTCATTCCTTGGACGTTTTTGTTCCGAGTAAGCAATTGCAACAGCAGTGCCAACAATCTCCTCGCCAGTGTGGCAGACGGACCGTCACTCACTCTCATGGCTTGATATCGTGCACCCTGAGTATGGTCTTGCTGCACAGGGTACAACGGCGTACACGAAAACATTGTTTCAAACATGTCGCGGAGCATTATGTTTCGGTTGCTTTCTACCACGCACAAGTTGACGCAAATTTTACTCAACGTGTCCTTCAACTCCAAATTCTGCAGCGCGAACAGTCCTAGCAATATCCTAATATGAGATACCCCTAGCTCGATCTGACACTTAAATGGTTTGAAGTCACTGGCTCGTCCGGTTTGCTGAGAGCTCGGAGATACTCCTCCAATACGATCGATATCTTGATGCATCCATCCTTCAAATGGAGCGACCATGGAACGCAACAGCGCTTGGGCGGACTCAGATGATCTATCTGTACGACCATCGTTTTGATTCTCTGCGCGCCCTGCTCTTGCTAACACTCTATTCGCCACCGTGGCAGTATTACGAATCAGTTCGCGCTGAATCTCTCGTGGCATGGCAACCAGAAACTCCGCGTCGATTGCGCATAGTTCAGACAGGTTTGCCTGAGCAAACTCGCCGCCCTCTTCGCGAGCTCGAGAAGCAACCATGTTTGCCTCCAAGAACTCATCGCGAAGATCTTCTGAAACCATGGCGAGTTCATTTGCTTCGATGTTCAGTGAGATAGCAATTGCTCGCTGGCGCGCTGTGCGTTCCTCGGGCGATTCGTCGGCTTCCGTCGGGGTGTTGGGTTCGAGGACCGGTTGTTTTTCCGCGATGTCGCCAAGAGCTTGGGTGGCCTTCACGGGTACCTTGATCGATTCTTGAGGAACCAAAAAGTTTTCATCCGTAGCGATTGAGTTCCCGACGCTTGTCGCATTGCTACGCGACCAGAAACTCGCTCGGGCATGTCTGCCATCAAGGCTCCAGCACGTCTGATTGCGAACTTGGAATGCCTCAGGCGCGTGTGCCTGATAAGTACCGTCACCTAGCCACAATATCGCTTTAGCAGAAGAGGCTGGATCCAAAAACTCCATGTGAGACGGACGCACGGTCAGACGAGCCATCTCCCCACTGATAGTGGTGAGTACATCATGAAGTGAGCGAGATCTCGCGCTGAAATCCAGCGGTGTCGAGAGAGTAATGTTCAAATTTGAGCCAACACGCTGCACATTCACACCTTCGAGGTTCACGGACGCAAACTCATCTCTAGGACCGGATGACCAGATACCGCCGCCCAAATATTCCTGTCGCGCGTTCCCTCTAGACGAAGCAGACGGCAGCGATTGACGTTGTGAGCCGTTCTCCGCAACCTGTCCGCCTTCGGCTCCGTCCAACACGCTCAATCGTCGTCCACCAGCTATTTCCAACTCGTTGACCGATTGTGCCTCGACTCTTGGGTCGACCCCGGCCAGAGCACTGGAGTAATCCGTCGCAAACCAATTTTCGACTTGAGTGCGAGAAACTTGGTTACTCTCGTTTACGAGCGGTCTTGCGGCGGAGATAGAAGAATTCGTGACTCGCGGTAACACTCGCACACCGGATGATGACACAAAAGATGTAAGCGGCGATTCGGGTTCTTCGTAATCCCCTTCTTCGCTGTCAACTTCATCGTCGTCGTCAGTGACACCTTCATACGTTCCGTCGTAGTCCTCGTCGTCGTACAAGCCATCATCTGAGACGATTTCCACAGGTTCGACTAACTGTGCGTCTTCTTCTTCTTCTTCTTCTTCTTCTTCTTCTTCTTCTTCTTCATCTTCTTCATCTTCTTCATCATCATCATCTTCTTCTTCTTCGTCATCCTCTTCCTCTTCTGATCCGTTCCTAAAGAAATCGTGCGCCATGATGTTCTCGTCCTCGTCCTCATCCTCGTCAGACCCCTCATCCTCGTCTTCATCTTCGTCGTCTGCATCGATGATGTCATGACCGACTTCGGGATCTTCGTCAACATCCATGTCGGCTTCTTGTGCGACGCGCTCGTCGTCTGGCGTCAAGATGCGGGCAACGTGGGCATCGATTTCAGTATTAACGCGCCGTACGAAATCTTCAAAACGGCCCACTCCTTCTTCTTCGTTGCTAATCTGTAAGAGATTCTGAAACAAATCTTCGTCTTGCTGCATGTGTTGTGGATCCTCAGCACGTGCCAGTTGAGCCGTGACTCTCTCTCTAGCGTGCCGCACCACATGACCTATACGATCTAGTCGGGTTGCATGCTTAGTCCTCGCCGATCTCATTACGAGCGCCTCTAGGACGGCTAAAGTCACGCGGAGGAACCCAGAGTTGCCTGTCAACCTGCCGTCCTGAACCTTCATTTCACTGATAAGTGCCACCAGTCGCTCTGGCACCTTCAAATTGTACATGGTTTTCAGCACGCCTTGCTGAAGATTGAATACCGTGCGATTTTTGATTCGTTCTCCACTCTGATAACCGCGTGCGAGGCCATAATCCATGAGCGCGTGCAACAGATCGACAAATGCATGTTTTGGATAATCGGCTGATGCGTGCGACTCGTTCATGAGCTGTATAAGGCATTCTACTATCCTGTTGCGCGCTTTCGTGTTGTTGACGCACAGACTTGCCATGAAAAACGCGGCGTTTTCGCATCCACACCAAACGCCTTTACCCGTCCTTGCTAGTGGAAACTGCTGGAGCAGTATATTCTCGAAGGCGTTTTTGTCGGCATCCAGCTTCATGATGAACTTCACACTGGATGGGTGAACTTCGATTAGCTCGGACAGCATGCGGTAAGCCGCGGCTTGTCGCTCATGCGCGGAAATGAACACCGTTCCCGCATTATCTACTATCGACGCGGTTGCCGTCTTAAAAAGCATCTCAACAACTGTTTTAAGGTGTTTTGATGGCTTCACTTCTGGAAGCGAATCTAATTCCTTGAGTATTTCTTTCGGAACCACAAAACGACGATCGCTAGCAGAAACTTCGCCTGTCGGCATGACTTCAGCGACGCGCGCGAACGCTTTTTGAAACACTTCATAATCTCTCTCGACGATGTGTTTCATAGCAGTTCCGAAAGTTTTGAGAGCAACCTTGAAATCTCTGCCTAGCGGTGGCTTCGTGATGCTCTTGATGATTTCAAGCTCCATCGCCGACTGCAAAGATTTTTTGTCATCGATGAGATGTCTGAGAATGACCGAGACACTATCGTGATCTTTGTTCCAGAAGTGATCGAACAACGTTTCCGCGAAGTTTTTGCCCGCATCAACTGAGTTGAGCATGTTGATGATTCTTTCCGCCACGCCAACGTCGCGAGATAAATTTGCCAGAAGATCAAGAATTGCAGCCTGCGTTGAGAGGGAGCTGAACACGCACGTTTCAGCGCCTTTCTCCTTGATGATTGTCAATAGACACTGGACGCACGCATCTGCTACGGAGAACATATGCGTTTTGGACAGATAGCCAGATTTTGAGTAAGTCTTGCTGTCAACCTTCTGAAGACACGCAGCGGTGTCAACACAGTTTGCCATCGTCGTGAAGATTGACGGCCACTCTTCCACGCTACCGATGCACGATGCACGAGCTGTTGAGCAAAATTTATCAATCTGAGAATTGATCAGCGACGGGTCCCCCCACAGTGCCTGTCTGATGGTTTCATCGCCTTGTCGCGCCAATGCATCAACGAAAGCGTACAGTTTGCTTTCGCACGATGCCTGCACACCGCATGCGTCGTCACCTCGGTGGTCACCACGGCTGCGCACGAGCTCAGTAATAATAGTTTTCGTGCACTCCTCACGACTCAGTCCAATCAGTTGATGCGCATCGATAAACTTGAGCATGAGGAGCGCACCGTTGTGTGCGCTGACATGATGGTACGCATACAGCGCATTCACCAAGTCATCCATTTTAGGCAGACGTCCCTGAACGGCATGAGTGTGTTCACTGTTCAACGCAACTTGGGTAACTGTCGGCCTCGTTGGTTCCTTCACCGACACGTCAACCTCATGCGCCTCAGGTCCTGGTGGTGGAGGTAGCTCGACGGGAACATCATCCATGGGTCGAGTCAGTAAATGTTCTAGCGCTCGCTCCACACTTGCGCCACGCACGGCCATGAGAGCGTGATGCGCATGTCCCCTGCTGAAACCCATTTCACATATAGCATCCATCATTTCGTTCGATGGGACATACTGCGCCGGCTCTTGCTGTTGCACCGGAGGGGCGGGTGCCGCACGGCGTGACTCAGTCGGACCTGCTTGCTCGCTTCCGCCGAGGATGTGCAGCATGCACTGTACGAAAACATCCGGGATGTTTGTCTCTGCCTGTACATCTGCCCTGCGGGCAAAGTCTTCATTTTCCGGTGCCCATAGGCACTGCAATGCGTCATTCAAAGAACAATGGATCCAATCAATCCCGGATCTCGAATCGTTGAACGCCTCCGAAATATGCTCGTACTGCGTCCAAGCGTGACGTTGGTCTTCTTTGTTGACGTACGCGGGTAAGCTTGTCGAAAGTGCGAGTTTGTGCGTATTCGTCGAAGTCATCATTTTAACATCAGAAACCCCCGCAAAAAGACGTGCAAAGCAGCGCATTGTCTGGTAGCACTCCGTCGTATCCAATTGTGTCCGCTTGACGAAAAATTGAGTCGATTCGACGCGCATTCGGAAATAGTCGTACAATCTGTCGAAAAGTCCAGAACGAGCGGCATAGCTCACCATTATTCCGTTAGGAGAATTCCTTCGTTCGTCAAAGAATGCGTCGTAGATGAGAGCGAGGAACGATTGCAAGTATTGCTCGTAATAGTCCAACTTGTACTGAGTTTCGTCCTCCGAAAACGGACGTAACGAAAATGTTTCAAGTGAATGTCGCTCAAGATAATTATGAATCCCGGACGCAATTTCCCAGACGGCACCACCGCTACTGGTGATATATTTTTGCGCAGATTCTCTGCTCAAGTCCTTTCGACGACGCATGGTCGTCGATGCCTTCGTTACCGAGGCGAATAGGGCACTCGTCGATTGCATGAAGCGTTCCGCTTCGCGATTCAACCAATACACCGGAGAATATCTATGCTGATTCTGTTCCACCGTTAAACTCACCTTACGAAACATTGCCTGTATTTTCGCCGCTTCACCAAAAGCGCTCAACGCCGACACAAACAACGTGGATCCTTCTCCCTGCTCATTCAGATCCGCCATGATTGCGCAGCACATCGCCGGCATTTCCTGAACAAGTTTCATTAACAAATCACAGATTCGCTCGTGAGCCGCCATGAGCTCGGAAAGCTTCTTGGCACTTTCACAAAACATCACTTCCTCGGCAATATGTGCTCTCTTGGATTTGGCATTCAACGACCGACAATGAATGTCATACGATGAAAATGTTTCTATACGCCCATCTCGACTTATCGTATCGGAGAATCTCATTAGCTCCTGACTAAGCCTCTCCGCTGAAAGCACGACTTTCTTAATCACGCTTCTGCACGCGCGCATCAGATTATCCTGGCTTTCCAGCGGGTTACCGTTCACAACGTGCCCATCGATTGGATTGACTAGTGCTTTGCACGCGACACAAATGGCTTGATAGCTCGAACACTGCATGAATTCGACCGGCATTGGGCAAGTGAATATGTCAAGCACCGACTCTAAACCACCAGCTTGGACAATAGGTGAGCATACGTGTGAAGTTTGAAGAATACCATCCAAGAATCTAGCGACGTTATGCATCGCTTTGACAATCGGCATTTGTTCGACGACCTCCTTCGACACAAACGCGTGCTCGTACCATCCTTCTGCACTAGTAGTCTTATGAGATGCCGTCTGTAGGTCCGCTAATATCTTGGTCACGATATCCACGCCAACATCTTTCAACGCAGGACTGTGTCGGAGCGTCTCGTTTATGCCGGACCCGACCACCTTTGCCGTGTCAGAGTTCAACGGGAACGAGGCATCCTGAAACATCTTCCGAAAACATATGAGCGCAGATGTCTGTAAAACTTTCTCTTGCCCTTTTCCATTCAAGCAGATGGCGCTGATCGTCGTGGGTAGCGCACAGAGTACCTTCGCCATATGCTTCCCACGCCCGAGCGGCCACATCGTCTCTGTTATGAGTTTAAGAAATGCATCTATGATCCCGGCGTCATCTAGAGTTGCATAGCACGTTGGTTCGTTGTGAATGACATCGCACAACAGGTTAGCAGCCAAAGACGATACCCCTGGACCGAACCTGAGGGGATACTTCAGAATTGTTGCGAGCGTGTCCGTTAGACTGCCATCGGCGAGTCCCGGAATGCGCGTCCGCGTCCCTCCATGAGAAAAGCTCGTGTATGCTAAAGTACGCATGAGCGCTTTGAGCAACACGCGTCTATCATAATCGGCGTACTTTCGCGGTACCTCGCTAGTCGACGGAGCGCACGACGCCTCGGCGTGTTCTAAGCTAGATAAGCTGTCCGCTTTGCGTTTTCTATCACCGTTCTCATCGAGACATCCGGCAATTTTCAATTCCTCGACACAAGCGAGCGCCTCGTGCCGCATTCGCTTCGATATCAGTTCCACGCCTTGCAGATCTCTGAATGCCGGCACTGTATTCGGTTGAAAATCCAAGTAAGACTCTATCGTGTGCACCACGTCTACGGTTACTGGCACCGCCTCGGCGCGCTCCAAGTTTAGCATCGATACCAAAAGAGGGAGTAAATTCGCATCTCGTATCGCCGCGCACCCTGGCGTCGAGGTGCTGAGAATACCAATGAGGTGCATGAGACTTCGCGCATCTCGAATGAGATCGAAGCTAAGCGCCCCCCTTTCACCAGCCGAGAGCAGATTCGACGCCATAGTCGAGACGCACTGATACAAAGAATCCCGCCCAGCCGCCCGTCTGAGGATTTGGCACACGTGGAATCCACATACTCGTTCGTTCGCAAACGCACTCATGCAGTTTGTGGCGTCCCGTCGAAGCATTGACGAGGTTTTCAAAGCTAAATTGTTTTCCATGAGCTCTAACAGCACGATGACGTGCGTCTGCGCGTTCTCCGTGAACCGATCGAACTCAGTCGCGTCTTGAGTCTTGCCTAAATGAATGATTATCTGTTGCGCGAGAACTGCCAGGCAAGCGCACGTCTCCCGTCCCTCTCGCGTGCTCCTGAGAACCCGTTTCCATGTCCGCATCTTTGCTTGAAAAATTGCGAGAGCCGCGCCGTTTGCAAATTCCTCGTGAGAAATCCCCCACTTCTCCAACGGCGCTGCCCAAAAGTCCGATTGTACCATTTTATCCGCGCGACGCATTAAATCGTTCAGCATCTTCTGCTCGTCCGGCCATTCTCCGGCGGCGATCTCGACATCAAAGTGCAACGGTTCGGGAACGATTGGCAAATTGAATTCACCGTAATACGCTGAAAGCGTCAACGACCCGCCGTTCATGTCCGGATCCCAAGTCACGGTGAAATGACAAGACAACTCAGAAGAGAACGTATGACGTCCATTGTCGTAAAGCTCTTCAGTGTGTATGTCTGGATCCAGAATACTGTACTCTTCGCCGGTGTTGAGGTTGCTATCTTCAATCATCGACAGCAGAGTTCGCACCCTCTTGAACGCGTCCGACGTGAAGTATTCATGCCTCATCGTTTTTCCAACGACAGATCTTCGCGTCGCCGCGGCGAGTAAGCGAAGCGCGCTCTCGCACGTCTGATGCGTCTCCAACCACGGGACCGCCGCGTCGCCGTGCGGGAACACCGCGGAGCCCTCGCCCGCGTGCTCCACGATCTCCCGCATAAAGTCCAAGATCCAATTCACCCCAGCGAACGTCCGCTCGCTCCATTCCCTGTCCAAACCTCTCTCCCCACGCGCGTCCCGCGCCGCTTCCTTCAGGTACGTCGCCAGGCGTCCGTGCGCCTCGCTCCAGTGCCTCGCGTCGCACTTCCCGTACCTCCACGCGAACGGCGCTCTTCGCGCCACCCCTCCCGGGAGTTCCGTCGTCAACAAATCCTCCGCGATCGCTCTCGCCTCCGGGCACTGCGCCACCGTCACCGCGTCGAGCGACGTCTTCCGGTCAGTCATCCATCTGTCTCGCCTTGACGACGACCGCATCGTCGTCGTCGCGTCGCGTCGCATCACCATCCCTCGCGCGTCGACGCGTCGACGCACCGCGTCCACGTTCCGTCGTCGCGACGACCGTTCGTCCCGCGCGCGCATCGCCCCGAGGCGCGCGCGTGCGTCGTCGGCGTCGTCGTCGTCCTCGGCGGCGCGCGCGTCGGCCTCGTCCGTCGCACGACGGCGTCGCGACCGCGCGGGTGACGAATCGTCGTACATCGTGACGAAAATCGCCGTGGGGTGACTTTTTTTTTCTCTCGCGCGCCGTGACGGGGCACGATGGAAAGACTCGGCGCTTTCCTATCTTCAAAGGGCTCTACATATGGAGAATGCGCGTCAAGGCAAAGGCGTTCGTAGGGTTTAGACCACGCCCGACGTCGCGCGACCGCGCGCGGTGCCGTAGTGCGAGCGCGTCGAGCCCGTCGAGTGCGCGCGTCGAGGACGGACGGGTGTAGGGTGCCGAACACGCGGGTGTTCAAAAAACCCGCGTGCGCGCCATCCGCGCCGGCGTCCCGAATCGACGTCGCGCTCGCGGTGCGCGCGCGCGATGACGCGCGTCGAGCGCGGTCGCGTCCTCGCGCGCGCGATCGAGCGCGCGGTCGCGCATCGCGCGTCGGCGCGTCGATGGACGACGACGACGCGAACGCCGGCGTGGATGGTGACGGGGTGGATGGGCGGACGTGGCGTCGATCGGTCGACGGCGATGACGCGCTTCGAGCGGTGTGGGTCCACGGCGTCGTCGAAGATCACGGCGGCGCCGATGGTGTACGTGCGGGGGGAGGAGATGACGGCGTACGTGATGGATTTGATTCGGAGCCGGTGGATCGAGCCGAGAGTGGACGTCGGTGGATGGGAGACGTTCGACCTGCGCGCGAAGAATCGAGACGACACGGAGGATCGAGTGCTGAGAGATGTCATCGAGGCGGGTAAGAGAATCAAGGCTATCTTTAAGGAGCCGACGGTGACGCCGACGGCGGATCAGGTGAAGCGGTTGGGACTGCGAAAGAGTTGGGGGTCGCCGAACGGAGCCATGCGCCGCGGATGGAACGGGATCACGATCTCGCGAGATACCATTCACATCGACGGTGTGGAACTGGGGTATAAGAAACCGGTGCTCTTTGAGCGACACGCCGTGGGCGGGGAGTACTCGGCGGGATACAAGAACGTGGGTAAAGGTAAGCTGACGACGACGTTCACGCCGAGCGAAGGCCCAGACGCCGGTAAGACCGTCGTGGTCGACGAGCGAGAGATCGTCGATGAGGAGGCGGCCGTGGTGACGTATCATAATCCGTACGACAACGTTCACGATCTCGCCCGATTCTTCTTCGGAAGATGTCTCGAGGCCAAGGTCACGCCGTACGTCGTGACGAAGAAGACGGTTTTCAAGTGGCAAGAACCGTTTTGGCAAATCATGCGAACGGTGTTCGACGAGGAGTTCAAGGCGCAATTCGTCGCGGCGGGCGTGATGAAAGAGGGTGAAGAGCTCGTGCACTTGCTTTCCGACGCGGCGACGATGAAACTCGTGCAGTGGCGCCAAGGCGGATTCGGCATGGCGGCGCACAACTACGACGGCGACGTTCTCACGGATGAGCTCGCCCAGGTGCATAAATCTCCGGGCTTCATCACTAGTAACTTGGTCGGTGTGCACGAAGACGGGACGCTGATCAAGGAGTTCGAGGCTTCGCACGGCACCGTCGCCGACATGGACGAGGCGCGTCTGCGCGGAGAGGAAACCTCTCTCAATCCTCTCGGCATGGTCGAGGGCTTGATCGGCGCCATGAATCACGCCGCGGACGTGCACAACATCGACAGAGACCGCACGCACGCGTTCACGACGAAGATGCGCACGGTGATTCACCAGCTCTTTCGCGAGGGCAAAGGCACGCGCGACCTCTGCGGCCCGTCCGGTCTCACCACCGAGCAGTTCATCGACGCCGTCGCCGAGCGTCTGGACGCGTAAACCGTCGTCTCACCGTCACGAGTAAATGTCTTGTCATGCGCAGATCCGTCGTTTTCTCCTCATCCTCGACCCTTTCATCGTTCGCTCGCCTCCGCGTCTCTCCTCGCCACCCGTCGCCATCCGAGGTGTGTAAACCCTCAAAACCCCGAGTGGCGGCGTCTCGCGCGCGTGCCGTCCCCGCACACCCCCGCGCGCTCGAGCCATGAGCTTCGCCGCGCGCGCCGTGCACACCGGCGACGCGGCGACCGATGCGGGGACCGACGCGAGCAAGGTGGCGCCCGTGCGCGCCGTCGAACTCGACGGTGGCGCCGCGCTGAAGATCATCAAGCACTGCGCCGATGCGTCGCCCGGAAGCGCCACCGGACAGCTCTTAGGGCTGGACATCGGCGCCGCCCTGGACGTCACCGCGGCGTTTCCGTTCCCCAAGATTGGAAACGATGGGTCGTACGACCCCGACGGCGCGTTCGCCTCGGAGGAAGGGGCTGAGTATCAACTCGACATGCTTCGATGCCTGCGAGAGATTAACGTGGACTCGAACATCGTCGGATGGTACCAGAGCACGTACTTGGGGACGTTTTACAGCGAAGAATTAGTCGCGACGTTTCTTTCGTACGCCGAGAGCATCGAGCGGTGTGTGTGCATCGCGTACGATCCGGCGTACGCGGAGCAAGGCGTGTGCGCGCTCAAAGCGCTGAGGCTGAGCGAGAAGTTTGTGGAGGCGTACGAGGCGGGTAAGGGCGAGTTGACGCCCGAGAACATTCACGAGAAGGGGCTGAAGTGGAATGAGGTCGTAGAGGAGGTGCCGCTGACGATTAGAAATAGCGCGCTCGCGACGGCGGTGATGGGCGAGTTGACGCGGGGCCAAGACGAGACGCTCAACAGCACAGATTACGAGCGTCTGGATCTCAGCACGGCGCCGTTCGTCGAGGAAAACATGAAGTTGCTCGGAGAGTGTATGGAGGACTTCGCCAACGAACAACAAAAGGTCGCTTACTACCAGCGCAACATGCAGCGATACCAGTCGCAGCACGCGCACTGGCTGCAAAAGCGCCGGCAAGAAAACGCGCGTCGTCGCGCCGCGGGCGAGGATGTCTTACCGGAGGAAGATCCCAACTACAAGGCTCCACAACCGCCGAGCCGATTGGAGAACTTCTTGATCACCAATCAAGTCGCCGAGCACGTCTCCCAACTGGAAAATTTCACCCGTAAGACGGAGGCCAAGCTCGAATTGGTCGGCGCGTTGGCCGGCAAGTAGAGCGACGATTGTATTATCCATCGCGTCACTCGAACCGTCGTCCGTCGTCGAAATACCGCGCCTAGGATCGCCGCGTCGTTCTTGAACTCACTTCGCTCGCCTTGCGTCCGTATAAGATGACTGATCGATCGCGCGACGCGCCTCAGACCTCGTCCCTCGCCCGTCAATCGCATCGACGCACGTTGGACGACGGGTGATCATGAACGACGCCCTGCGCGCGCTCTCCGACGCGCTCGAGCCCGTGAGATCTTCCTTGACGTCGCTCGAGCCGTTCTTCGCGACGCCGGCAAGTTTTCTGGCGCGTCTCGTGAGCGATGGAAAGTCTCGCTCGAGCGTCGTGGACACCCTGTTCGCGCACTTCCTGATTAGCATCGCGTGCTGCGCGTTGATTCTCGTCCTCTCCATCGCGTTCAGTCGTAAGGTTATCGTGGGCGCGAAGACGTTTGACGCGCTCAAGGAGCACGAGCGGTCGACGTGGCACACGAACATGTGCACGTTTTGGCCCGCGTTCGTTGTGACGGCGTACGCACTACCGGCCATCTTGACGTATGATGGAAAGGTTAATTCGTTCAGGAGCGTGGTGTCGATGAACACGGCGCGGGCGTGCGGGATGTCGGTGGGGTACATGACGTGGGACTTGCTCGTCATCGTGACGCGTTGGAATGACCAGAGGACGGCATACGGCGGCGCGGGGGCGCTGTGGTTGTTCATCGTCCACCACATGTTCTCCATAATACTTTGGCCGTACGCCCTGAGCAGGGGTCTGTGCGCGTATCACATTAATTATTTCCTCGTGAGCGAGGTGACGAATTTCAACATGTCGTTGCGTTGGATTTTGTCGACGCTCAAGAAGACGCACACCAAGTTGTATTTGTTCAACGGCTTGGGATGGATTCCGCTCTTCATTTCTGTTCGCGTGGTCGTCATCCCGAAGCTTTACAGCGCGTTTGTGAACTCGGATTGGCGCGTGTTCACGTCGGCGCAGTACTGGGTCGCCGCGCTCACGCTTCCCATTCCGTCGATGTTGAACCTGTATTGGACCAAGCAAATCGTCGAGGGCGCTGCGAAATTCTTGCTCACCGGGGAAGATATAACCAAGCAGGATTAGAGTCGTTGTCATCGTTCGTTGGATCGAGTGTCACGTAGCAGTACAGCGCGTTGAAATTGCAAACGCCGCGTCAAATCTAAAAAAAGCCTCTCGCAGAGAGCTCCGTGGCGACCTCGTACAGAATCCCCATCATCGCCAATCTCCCGTGGATCTTTTCAATCTTCGCCGTGAAGATGCCATCGCTCTTACTCCTCGGATTGCCCGTGTAATCGACGCCAAATGCGCTCGGGGCGAAACTCGCGAGCGTCACGACCGCCAGCACCGCCGCCACGCTCACGACGTGGTCGTGCGCCAGCGTCACGATACCCTCCCCCGTCGCTCGTTTCGCCGCTTCACCGATCACGAAACCAACCATCGCCGACCGTCCGTTGATCGTCTCCGGTGCCCATCCTCCGAATGCCATCGCGGCGCGCCAGCTCGCGCTCTCCGCGCCGCCGCCGCCGCCGCCGTACGCGTTCGCTCGACTCCCGTTCTCTCGCGCCCGTCGCAGGGCCTCGCTCACCGGTACGGTGACGTCGTCCACGCTCGTCATCGTCGTCGCTCGCGCGCGCACCGCTCGAGACGCGCTCGAAGACGACGCGGAAGAGCTTTCGGACGATGTCGAGCGTGACGTCGACGAGTTTTGATTTCGCTTCGACGACGACGATCCGTCGTTCTCGTCGCGCGATCGCGCCCGTCCTGGCGCGCTCGGGGCTCGGAACGGGCATCGAGGGAGCGAGCACGATCGCGCGTGCATCGCGATCGAGGCGAGTGGGCGCGGTGTACTGGAGCGCGCGAGGACGCCGCGCGGGTGGAGACGAGCGGCGGCGGCGGCGACGGCGCTCGATGCTTGGATGCGTGGCGTCATTATTACAGCGGTGCGCGGCGGGAAAATGAATGTACGTGTGGCATCGCGCGCATGAATGCGTCGCCGCGCGCTCTCGACGCGGTGAGTCTTCACGGAATCACACGCGCGTTCTCACGGGGCGCTCGCTAAGAGCTGAGAACAGAAACCGACGAGGGCGAAGAATTTTGCCTTGAAGAGGACGAAAAGACCGTGAAGCGATCCGTTGGGTTGAATCCCCGCCAGCAATGAGACGCAGACACTGGCGACGGTGAAGAGCAAACCGTACTGCGCGATGCGCTCGTTAATACGCTGCAGACGGACCTCCACGGATGCCTGTACCAGAGCCGTGGTGCGCTCCAACGCGTCGCTGAGAATCCTCGCTTGCTCGGCGACCGTTTTGATGGTGTTCACGGCGGGATCGATGCGCTTCTTCACGAATGTCGGCAAGAATCGAATCTCGTACCCGAGACGGGTGAAACCAGCCTCGGCGAGTCGAAGGTTGATGATGTCCGTGTACGCTTGCGTCGTGAGCGCCGTGAGCTGGGTTCTCGTCAAGAGTTGCGTCACCGCTTGTTCGAGCTCGGTGATTTGCGTCACGAATTCTTGCTGCGTTTTATGGCCTCGCGCCGTGGCCTTACTTCGACGAAGCTGCGACGCGAGCGCTTCGTAGCGCTCGTTCAGGCCGGCTAAGAGCGGGAACCTGGACTTGGCTGACGGGAGGCGCTGCAAAAGCAACAATCGATACTGCTCGAGCTGCAAGAAGCGTTGCAACTGACGGCCGGCGCGAATGAACACGCTCTCACCAGGGGGCACGACGACCAAGGTCTTCATCGCTCCAAAATCATCCAGTTCGTAGTTTACGAACAAACGGCTTCCGTCTCCGATGCCGCACCCGATGAGCGTCCCGGAGTCCCACTCCAGGAGACTGTCCTCGTCCTCGTCCTCGTACGTCGACTTTATTCTCGGCGCAAAATCTTCAAACGTCCCGAACGCGCGCCTGATCGAGCTCGACTCCTTCAAGGTCGGTACCTCGCTCTTCGGCGCGCTCGAGAGCTGCCTGAACACGGCGTGATTGATCAAAAACACCTTGCCAGGGATCTCACACGTCCACTCGCGCGGGAGCAGCCGCTGCCACTCGGGCATGGGTGAATCCAGCGCCTCTTTCATGTTTCCCGGCCCGTTCAGCGTCAACGTCTCGAATTCGTTGTGTCTCTGCATGCGCAGATTGAACCCTTCGCCGAGACTCAGCGTCACGTCCGACCATCCGCGTTCGATCCCGTCCAGCGTCTCTCGCACTTCCTCCACCGGCATCGTGTAGTGGGACATGAGCTTCTCGATGCACTCCCGATACGCCAACCCCTCCTCTCGCGTAAACTTACCCGTATCGTCGTACTCTCTGTACCACGCGACGTGCAGCACCTCCCCCTTGAGCGGCACGAACGGTCTCGACCGCGTCTCCGCGCTCAGCGCCCGTCGCTGCCCCAATCCTCGATCCGGCGTCACCGCGTCATCCCTCTTCACCGCGCGCGCCGCGTTCTCCGTCTCTTCCGTCTCCGTCGCCGCCCGCGCGTCGTCCGCCGCGTCGTCGTCCCGCGTCGTCCCCTCCCGCGTCTTCATCTCCGCCCGCGTCGTCCACCCACGTCCGCGCGCCGCCCATCTATCCCCCACCCTCGTCCGAGCCCGCCGCGTCCGTCGTCCGTCCATCCGCCCGTCGTCCACAGCGCGTCGTCCGTCCGTCCGTCCGTCCGTCCGCGCGCCCGAAGCCGCGTGCCACGCCATCGCGCACCGATCGTCCGTCGTCCACGCGCGTCCACGGGCGTGGACGCCGTCGCGACGACGGACGACGCGCGCATGCCCCCCCCACGTCCACGGCGCGCGCGCGCGGACGTTCGGCGTCGCGTCGCCCGGCGCGCGACGCCCGCGGGCGCGCTCAATCGTGACCGTCACCGACTCGCACTGTTCGCCCACACGCGGTCGTCGAGACGCGTGGATCGAGTGCGACGCGGACCTTTATGGCCCCCACCGAGACGCGTGGATCGAGTGCGACGCGGACCTTTATGGCCCCCACCGAGACGCGTGGATCGAGTGCGACGCGGACCTTTCACGGAACACCCGCGTGTACGGGACATCTCACCCACGGCCCGCGACGTCGACGCCGCGCGCGACGCCCCGTCGACGCCGCCGCGGCCGCGGTCTCGGCGCCGGCGTCGCGCGCGGCGTCGACGTCGCGTCACTCGGGCGTCTCGAACGGAGGACGAAGTGCGTGATGACGGACCGAGCGCATCGATCGGGTGACCCCGGACCTCGGTCGGCGAACGCGAGCGACGCGACGACGTCCGCGAGACGCACGAGACGGGAAATCATGAAGATGAACGATGGCACCGAACGCGTGATCGAGGTGGACGATCGATTCGCGTGCGCGAAGTGCGCGCGGGGGGCGTCGTGTTACGCGGTGCATCGGGCGACGAGCGCGGTGGCGTCGATGCGGCGGCGAAAGAGGTATAACGAACGGACGACGGGCGATGTGCGCGAGGTGGGGGTGGAGGCGAAGGCGTCGGGGTCGCGCTCGGGCGGCGGGCGCGGGCGCGTTCGAGGAGACGCCGATCCTTTGGGGGCGGTGGCGACGCTCGCGAGGGACGGACACCGGCCGACGCGGAAGACGTTCACGGCGGTGATCGCGACGTTGGGGGGGATGGGACGGGCGACGGAGACCTTGAGCGTGGTGCCGATGATTGAGGAGTACGGGGACGAGGCGGACGTCGCGGTGTGGAACGCGGTGGCGCACGCGCACTGCGCGAGCGGAGACCCGGTGGAGGCGGAGCGAATCGCGGACCGCATGGCGGCCGAGGGAGGCGTGGGGGTGAGCGGGGCGACGCATCCGGAGATTATTTACACCTACGCCAGGTACGGGGAGGCGAATCGAGCGTACAGACTGATCCGCAGAATGTCAAACGAGCACGGGGTGATTCCGGATGAACGGCACTACAACGCGTTCCTTCGCGGCTTGTGCGAGCGAGACGATCTCGAGGAGGCGGACGAGGTGTTGCGTCGATGGAATAACGAGAAGTTCGATTTAGAACGCCAGAGCGATCGAGGTGGACGCGTGTCCAAGCCGAGCGCGGCGTCTTACGGTTTGCTCATCGACGCCTGGGCGCGTCGCGGGAACATGCTCGCCGCGCGCAAGCTGTTGCAGCAAATGCAATGGGAGCGCATCGCGCCGTCGCTGCAGCTATTTAACATTCTCATAGGGGGGTATTTGAAGCAAGGAAACATCGGCGCCGCGGAGGGGTTGTTCCGAGAGCTCGAATCGAGCGGGACGTGGGACATGGAGTCTCTCGGGATTAGGCCGGATAACGTGACGTACACGCTGTTTTTGGACTATTGGGCCAGTCAAGGGCAGGTGGATGCGTGCGAGCGCATCTTCGACCGGATGGCTCGGAAGAAAGTCACGGCGGACGTGCAGGCGTTCGGTACGCTGGTCAAGGCGTACGCGCGCGCCCGCGATCCCGACGGCGCCGAACGCGTGTTGGACCGACTCGAAGCAGCGGATGTGGAGCCATCCGTGGCTGTTTACAGCGCCGTCATCGCCGCGTTCTGCACCGTGGGCGAGATGAAGCGCGCGCGAGAGATTCTCGACCGCATGTTCGATGCGAGCTTGCGACCGAACGAACGCACGTTCGCGCACTTCGCGTGGGGATACGGGCAACTCGAGGATATCAACGGCATCGTGGACGTGGCGAAATTGATGCTCGCCAACGGGCTCAAACTCAAGGGCGCGAATCGAAACGCCATAGTTCGCGCGTGCGAGGAGTGCGGCATGAGCATCGGCGCCATCCACGCCCTTCTCGACAGGCTCAATCCCGAGGTATCTCAGCGTAAACCGGTGTGGACGCGAGACGGTGCGAGTGCGAAATCATCCGCCGACGCGCCGACGCCTCCAGAGTCCAAGGAAATCGCCGGTGGCCAAGCCACCGTCGACGCAAAGAAACAGGGCGCTCGTCGCGTCACCACGCGCGCGTTTCCCACGCTTCAGCGCGCTCGCGTCATCCATCGTCGCGCTTTCGCGCGACCCGTCGCGCGCGTCATTCGTTTCGCCGCCGCCGCCGCCGCCTAGTCTCATTCGTGTCAACGCAGCGCGCGTCGTCCACACTCGCCGTCGCCCCACGTCCCCGAGCGCCCTCGCGCATGTTACGCCTCCTCGCCTCGGACGAAATCGGGTACGTGCGCGCCCTCGAGCGCGGTCGTCGTCGTCGGAGCCGCGACGAGGACGACGACGAAGACGCCGCCGCCGCCGCGTTGGACGCGAACGACGACGATGAAGAGTTAACGTTGGTGGGGAAATACGGCGCGTTAGACCGCGCTCGAGCGTGCGTGCGCGTGCGAACGGTCGTGCGCTCGAACGCGGGGGAGGCGAGCGCGTCGCGCGCGGTGACGTGCGCGCGAAGGGGCGGAGTGGTGGAATTCATGGACGCGGCGAGCGGGACGCGCGCGCGCGCGGGGTTCGCGGTGACGCTGAAGGATGGAGCGACGCTCATCGACGCGTACGGATGGTGTGATTCGATTGAGAGTGAAGTGACGAAGGCGGTGACGGTGGATGACGGTGGGAACGTGCGATCGCACGCGTGGGAGGCTTCGCGCGGGGAGGGCGGGACGTGGACGGAGACGGGCGCGTTTAAAGCCATGGAAAACGCAGTGAGCAGTGATTACGACGCTCATCTCGGATCGCTCGTCGTCGGCGGTCGCGGACGTGGATGTGATGTGATGATTTACGACGTCGCGCACGGGACGAGGACGTTCAAGGCGGGGTATCCGCCCGCGAACTGGTTGGGATACACGGCGCCGCCGTGGGTGAGCGCGTCGTGCTTCGCGGCGACGAGCGAGTGTAAGCGCTTCTTCGTCGGCACGGGCGAACATAGATTTAGACATTACGACACACGCGCGTCGGACACGGCGGTGCTGGATTTGGATCTGGGAAAGGGGGTGATAACGTGCGTCGCGAGCTCGCTCGACGGTCGCGAGGCGTACGTGGCCAACGCGCGCGGCGCGTTCGAAATCGTCGATCTTCGCATCGGGAAAACGCGCGGGAAGTTCAAGGGGAACTCTGGAAGTATTCGTGGGATCGCTGTTTCCGACGATGGCGCGCACGTCGCGTGTGCGGGATTGGATCAGTACGTGCGGGTGTACGACGCCAAATCGCGCAAGTGCGTCGCGAGCGCGTACGCGAAACAGCCGCTCACGTCCATCGTATTCGACTCGTACACGCCGGCGATGGAGGCCAAGAAGGCCAAGGCAGCGAAGAAGAAATCTAAGAAATCGTCGTCTCGCGAGCTCGACGTCGACGTCGGTGTTGAGAAGAAGAAGAAGAAATCTAAGAAATCGCTCGTAGACGAAGACGACGCGAGCGTCGAGCGGAGGAAGAAGAAGAAGAAATCCTCCTCGTCGTCGTCCAAAAAGCTCGGTGTCGTGTTCGATTGAGTGATTGTAAATATTCACGCCATGACAACGCGTTTCGCTACCGCTACGACCTAGGATATACAGCGCTACGCCCTCGCCCGTCGCGCCTCTCGACTCGCCTTTTTCAACAACCCGAAATCGCTCCCTCGCCTCGCCGCGAACCGCTCATCGAGCGTCTCCCGTCGATCACTCATCGCCCACGTCTCTGATTTCGCCTCCTGCCGCGCCATGAGTCCCCACAGCACGACGCTGAGTCCGAACAAGACGCACAACTTCCAAAGTTTGTTACTCAATCGTTGCTTCGCGAACGGATTCCCCCCCCGTCCCACGCGCACCTCCTCCCCCGCGAGCAAGCCTCTGACTCGTGGATCGAGCACTTCCGTCGGATCGATCGCCCGCGCGTCTCCCCCGCGCGTCGTCGCGCGTATCGACGCGTCGCGCGTCTCTCGCATCGCGCGTCGCGTCGTGCCGGTCGCGTCGCGTCACGCGTCGCCATCCCTCGTCATCCGTCGCCGCGCGCGCGACGCCTCGACGAACGGTCGCGGTGTGTCGATGTCGCGACGAAGGATTTTTTCGCTCGTCGATCGCGCGCGCGCGGGCGTCGAACGCGTCGTCGACCGCGCGCGCGTGGACGTCGACGTGCGCACCGCGACCGCGCGGATGCGGATGCGCTCGACGCGCGCGCGGGGTGGGGGCTCGTCGAGCGCGATCGGACGAAGAAAGAGCGCGACGCCGAGCGCGGTGCGGGTGACGGTGATCGAGGACGACGCCCGGGGGGGGGGCGGGGACGCCGAGCGCTCGCTCACGCCGGTGGCGACGATGGCGTTGCTGGATAGACACATTGTGGGCCAAGGGGAGGCGAAGCGGGCGTGCGCGGTGGCGCTGCGGAATCGATGGCGACGGCATCGAATCGAGTCGCCGATGCGGGAGGAGATCGCGCCGAAGAATATATTGATGATCGGACCGACGGGGTGCGGGAAGACGGAGATCGCGAGACGATTGGCCAAGATCACGGACTCGCCGTTCGTCAAGGTGGAGGCGACCAAGTTTACCGAGGTGGGGTTTCACGGACGCGACGTCGATCAAATCATTCGCGATTTGGTGGACAACGGGATCGCGCTGACGAAGCAGAAGATGCGAGCGAAGTTTGAGAAGTACGTCGAGGAGTTGATTGAGAATAAAATTTTGGATTTCATCTGCGGCGAGGGGGCGAACGACGAGACGCGCGAGGCGTTTCGATCGCTCTATCGCGATGGTACCCTGGACGATCGCATGATCGAGGTCGATTTACCGGATAACGCTGGGCAAGGGATGAAGATCGATCCCAGCGGCGGGCCGATTCCGATTCACGAGCTCGTGATCAAGGTGGATAAGCTCTTTGGCAACCGTAAGAGCACGACAAAACGAAAGATGACCGTGGCGGAGTGCAAGCCGCTCATTGAGGAGATGGAGTTCGACAACTTGTTGTCCGCGGAGACGATCGCAAAGGAGGCGATCACGTCGGTTGAGAACGACGGCATCGTGTTCATAGATGAGATTGATAAGATTGTTTCTTCGAGCGATTACAGACACGGGGCGGACGCGAGCTCAGAGGGGGTGCAACGCGACCTCTTGCCCATCATCGAGGGCTCCGTCGTGAGTACAAAACACGGAAATGTGAACACCGACCACATCCTCTTTGTTTGCTCCGGGGCGTTCCACAGCGCCAAGCCGAGCGACATGCTCGCCGAGCTCCAGGGCCGGCTTCCGATTCGCGTCGAGCTTAAAGGTTTATCTGAGCACGACTTGTACAGAATTCTCACCGAACCGGAGATGAACATGATCGCGCAACAAAAAGCACTGATGAAGACAGAGGGAATCGATTTAGTTTTCACCAACGAAGCGATCGAGCACATCGCCAAGCTCGCGCACAAGGTGAACAAGACGGTGGAGAACATCGGTGCGAGACGTCTGCACACTGTTCTCGAGCGCATCGTCGAGGAGTTATCGTTCTCGGCACCCGAAAAATACACAAAGTTCATCGCCGACGGCGGCGCGGGTGAACTTGTGGTCACCATCGACGTCAAGGACGTCGACGAAGCTCTCGGATCGATGCTCAAAAAGGACGATTTGAGCCGCTTTGTGTTATAACCGTACCCGTCATTCCTGTTTTTTACATATCCATAGCTACCGCTTCCTCAACCTTAATCGTCGCCCCTTCCTCGCCACCATTCTCGCTCACCTGTTTGATTTCATCCGTCGGAGCTTCCGTCGGAGCTTCCGTCGGAGCTTCCGTCGGAGCATCCGCCGGAGCTCGCGTCGGCAGCACGTACGAACCCTTATACTTGCGTCCGCGCCTGGCGACGAACTCGTACAGGCGCTCGTAGTAATCCTCCGCGTCCACTGTTTGCGCGTCGCGAACTTTAAAACTCTCCACACCCGCCTCCGCCGGTCTTGATCTAGTGCACGCCCAGCACACGAAATGCATCGAGCATCCCGCGTCTTTCCCGGTGCCAAAGGTTTCGGGAAATCTCTCCGGAGGTTGACATCCGCGATGATAATTTGCGTGGCAAATTTTGCACACGTGCAACAACCCAGAGTCTGAGCTATGGAAAATCCCACCGCCGCAGCTTCGACACGTACCCCGCGAGACATCGTCCTCGTGCGCGAGCTCGTACTCCCAAAAATAATTCTCGTACGCGTTCAACAAGCGATTCCCCACGTCCGTCATCGTGTGGTTCTCGTAGTAATTGAACATCAGTTTGAATATCTCCGTCATCGACAGCCGCGTTTTCGCACTCTCGCGATTCACGAACCCCCCCAGCGCGCAAATCATGCGATAGAGGTGCATGCAATCCATGGGCGCCCCCGTTCGCGCCAACGCGCGATCGAGATTCGACCAACACCTCTCCCAGTCCCGCCCGCGCGCGTGGTGAAAGCGCATAAAGTCCAGCATGAAATCCTCCTGCGAGCACTCTCTCAGCGCCGGTCGCGTCCACCGCTCGTCCCGAACCGTCCCTCTGTTCGCCTTTGGTCGCGCCGGGCAAAACGGCATGTCCGGGAATCGTCGCGCGTCGCGCGTTCGCTCGGGACCACGCACCGCGGCGTCCGTCGACGCATCGACGGCGGTCGCACCGTCCGCCATCGTTTCCTCCATCGCGTTCGCATCGCCCTGATCGTTCGTTCGCGTCACCGCGATCGGGTGCGACGCATCCGTCGTCGTCGTCGTCGTCGTCGTCGTCGTCGTCGTCGTCGTCGTCGCGTCCTCCGCGCGATCCATCGCGCGCGGCCGTGCGTGGACGCGCGCGCGTCGCGCGGAGTCTTCAAACGGGACGAAAACTAGGGTATAGGGTATAGGGTTTAGACGCCGACGAACGCATTCGCCGCGCGCCGCTCGGCGTCGCGTCGTCGCGCACTCATCCGCGCGCGCCCGGGCGCGGCGATGAGCGGAATGTTCGGCTCCATCGGCTCTTTGTTCGCCACCGGTCCGCGATTGCGATACGACCTCGACGAGCGGCCGCACGACGCGCGATCTCTCGGACGATGGACCCACGCCGGTGGTACATCGCGCGAGAGTGGTGAACGCGTGAGCGTTTTCACGTTCAGAGGAGACGCGCAGAGAGACGCGCGAGCGCTGGAGATCGCGAGGAACGGGGTGCGAAGATTGAAGACGATGAGACACCCGAATGTGTTGCTCGTGAAGGAGACGTTGGAGGTGGAAACGGGGAGCGAGATCGCGCTGCACGTCGTCACGGAGCCGACGACGCCGCTGGAGACGCACTTGCGGGAAATCGCGCGCGGTGGGAGCGATTCGCAGGGAGGGGAATACTTATTACTCGGGATACGGGAGATCGCCACGGCGGTGGCTTTTTTGAATAACGACTGTCGATTGGTGCACGGCGCGATTAGCTTGGCGTCCGTGGTGGTGACGGAACGCTTGGATTGGAAGCTGTGGGGGTTCGATCTGTGCAGCGAGTTGGATGCGATCGGGCACGGGGCGAATGGCGACGCGAAACTGATACACGGTGCGTACTTGGTTCCCGACCAGTACAAGCCTGAGGAGTTTAGGCGAGGGGATTGGGTGAGCATTCCGGAGGGGCCGCCGTGGGCCATCGACGCGTGGGGACTCGGATGCTTGATTCAAGAGGTTTACAGCGGTGGCGCTTTGCGCGGGACGGATCAGCTCCGCGAGGTGTCGTGTATACCGCAAACGTTGCTCAAGGATTACCAGCGCCTGCTCGGTTCGCAGCCGACGAGGAGGTATAACCCAAAGAAGTTGATTGAAAACGCGTCGCTCTTCGCGAACAAGCTCGTGGAGACCATCACGTTCATCAACAACTTGGCGCTCAAGGATTCCATCGAGAAGGAGCGCTTCTTCGGCCACTTGCCTCGAGTATTGGAGCAGCTCGCGTTGCAGCCGGTGCAGAAGAAGATTTTGCCAATGTTGTGCGACGCTCTGGTGTTCAATCAGGCGCCGCATCAGGCCATCTTGCCAATGTTCATCTCGGCCCAGGACATCCCGTTGGAGGCCTATCGAAAGATCGTCATCCCTACCGTGTTGAAGCTCTTCGAGAATCCCGACAAGATGGTTCGACTAGATCTGTTAGAGAATTTGAGTCGATATGCCGATCGAGTTCCGGATGAGATGGTGGACGATCCGCTTTACGAGCGTCTGAGCACCGGATTCACGCACGCAGATTCCAACGTGCGCGAGATGACTCTCAAGGGGGCGTCACTCCTCGTGCCGAGACTGTCAGAGCGAGTGATCACCGCTTCATTACTCAGACATTTGAGCAAGTTACAAATAGACGAGGACCCCGCCATTCGGGCGAACACAACGATTTGCCTTGGGAACATCGCGCAGTACCTCAGTGAAGCCACGGCGAAGCGCGTGTTGCTCAACGCCTTCACGCGATCTCTGAAGGACGCGTTCCCGCCCGCTCGCTTGGCGGGCGTGATGGCGCTAGAGCACACGACGCAGTACTACGAGCCGGCGGAGGTGAGCCAACGATTGATTCCATCTCTCGCGCCGTTGCTCACGGATGTCCAGAAAGATGTTCGAGTGCGATCCTTCCAAGTTTTGCAGATTTACTTGGAGAGTTTGAAGAGACACTCCGACGCGCTCGAGCAAGGACCAGAGGCCGCAGCGGCGCATGTTGAGAGGGAGCAAAAGAAGGGACACGCCAACGCGGCTAAAAAGGCGGCGAATGTGCTCTCATGGGCGGTGAATATGGCAGCGAGTAAGATTGGCGGCCCCGAAGAGGACGCACGCGCTCAGGTTGATCTCACAAACGAGCGCCTGATGGCAAAGTCGTTCAGTTCAGCTGCGCCACCGCCGAAGCTCTATGGCGAGAGCCCTCGCACTTCGACGCAAAACACCCCCGCGGTGTCCCTGGGCCCGTCACCGGCGAAGGCGATGTCGAGTGCGTACGATAGCAGTCGCCGAACGATCGAGTCAGCGGCGCAGAAGGTGAGCGCCTTGTCGATGAACGATGACTTCAACGACGAGGACGACGACGCCGACGGGTGGGGAGATTTGGACATCGTCGATCCGGCCGAGCAAGCGGCTCGAGAGAGGTTGAACTCTCGCACCACGAGCTCGAGCGCGCGAGTACAGCTGCCGAGAACGAATTCAGGAGGCATGAAGAAATCGACGAGCGATGGATGGGGCGACGGCGACGACGACTTGTTCGAGGAACTCGCGCCGCCGCCGGCACCGAAGCCTTCGATTCCATCCACGGCGCCGCGTGCGGGTCTAAGCGGTGCGCGAACAATGGGGTCTAGTGGACACGTTGGTTTAAGCGGTGCGCGTCGACCACTTTCGAGCGGGTCGCTAGGCGGATTGGCGAAACCGATGGGCGGCGTGAAGCCGCCGCCGATGAAGCTCGGCGGCGGCGCCAAGAAGCCGCAGGCGGACATAGATTTAGAAGCGATGCTAAACGGATAGGTTGCTAGGCTGCAGATTGTACAACGCTACAGTTAACACAAAATTCTGGAAGTTATTTTTTTCGCGGAAAATCGAGCAGCGCGCCGTACATCGACAGGTCCGTGTCAATGGCTCGCTTGAAAATCTCAGCAATGACGCCCTTCTCTGCGCGCTCGAGATCTCGCTGGATCCAATCGCCCCCTTCTTTCGATGAGTTACCCCCGGCGGTGACTTGCGTGTATAGATACGTGTCCTCGACCCTGTTCGCTAACAAACGCGCGCGTGCGATTTGCCAGGAGACGACGTACGGGTTCGCCTGCGGTCGGCACGTGCGCACGACGCGGAGCGCGTCTTCCAAGTTGAACTGCTTCACGAACGTGAGATAGCCGACAACCGTGAGCGATGCGCGATTGATACCGGCGGTGCAGTGCACGTAAGTACGCTTGCCCATCGCCTGGAATGCTGCCAACTTTCTCACCGCCTCTGGTAACATCTTCGCTTGGTCCAACCTGTCGAAATCGCGCACGCTGACCTGTACAATCATAACCTCCCGCTCGAGCGCGCGCCTACGCACGGCTTGCCAATCGATCTCCATCGCCGAGTGACACATCGCACACTGTAAACAAACGATCGCCTCCACGCCCGCTTCGTCCACCAACCGATCGACGTCCTCCGCCGTGCGCGGACACGACCCGATGAGCATGCGCGCGCGCGCGCAATCCTTCGCGCTCGGCTCTTCGATAAGCTCGTTCGTCTGCGGATCAATCGTGATGTAATCCCAATTCAACGTCCACGACCACGAACCCGGCGCCGGGGCCTGTCCACCGCGAGGCGGCCGCTTCTCCTTCACGCCCGCCTCTTTCGACTCCTCCGCCCGCTTCTTGTACCCAGACTGTTCATCCTTCATCGCGTCCTGGTCCACGTTCGCCGTCGCCCCGCATCGACGCGCACACCCTCGCCCGTGCGAACTCGACCACCGCGCGCGTCTCCGTCCATCGAACGCGCGCGCGGTCGCGCTCCACCGGGCGCTCTGCGCGATCATAATCGATCGATGCGTCGAATCGTCGCGAATCCGCACCGTTCGTCGCCTCGTTCGCGTCCGCGTCCGCGCGCGGTCGTCGCGCGGTGATTCGAACGGGTACAAATATTCCACGCGTTTCGCGCGCGCGCGTTGCGGGCGATGGAGTGACCGCGCGCGCGCGACGCGTCGCGACGGTTAACGACATCGACGACGGGCGTCACCCTAAACCCTAACCACTCGAGCTGTCGTTCGCGCGACGACGCGACGACGCGCGCGCGCGCGAGACGGGACTCCCGGGCGAGGGATCGCGCGATGTCGCCCGCGCCCGCGCCGCCGTCGCGCGTCGTCGACGACGCGCGCGCGCGAAACGTGAACACGGCGAGCGCGTTGGCGTCGATTTGGAAAAATCGATGCGACGCGCTGACGAGAGACTTGGAGCGCGCGAGGGAGACGTTCGAGGAGATGAAGCGTGAGTTATGCGTTCACAGAGACGCGTCGGAGCGCGAGCGGGCGGAGAATGCGACGTTGGAGCGTGAGATTCAAAAGGCGCGTTTGGACGCGAAGGAAAATTCAAAAGCGTCCGAGCGTCTCGCGGGCGAGATTAGAGCGTTAACGTGCGAGCGAGATAACGTTTTGACGGAAAAGAGAGACGTCGAAGAAGCGTTGGAGCGGGCGAAGAGCGAGGCGTCGGCGTCGGCTTTGATGATAGAGATGGAGCGGGCGGAGACGCTCGAGCTGTTGGATGGCGAGCGAAGAGCGCGAGCGAGCGCGGAGAAACGACGAGATAAGTGCGAGAGAGCGATGAAGGCGATGCGAGAGGACATGGAGGCGAGGGAGAGAGAGTTTGCGAACGAGCTCGAGCGCGAGCGCGTCGCACGTGCGCGATTGGAGGAGGATAGGGTGGAGCTCGAGGCGGACAGGCGACGATTTCGAGATTTTGAACAAATGTTAGCGGCGGAGAAAATTAAAGTGGTCGAGGCGCACAGTTCGAACAAAATGGCACAACAGGCGATGCAGGAGCGTATGACGAAGGCTGAGAACGAATCGGCGGCGATGCGGAAAATGATGGAGTCTCGTTCGACGGAGATGGCAAACGCGGTTCGACGGCTGAACGAAGAGCTTGCGGTGCAGCACGACGTCGTAGAGCGCGGTATGAGTGCTCGCGTCGACGCGCTGAGGGAGGCGTTCGATGAAGAAATCGTTCGCGTTAGAGAACGCGCGAATGTCATGATCGAGGCGGCGAGAAAGAAGGAGACGGCTGCAAACGAACGAGTGAAGGAATTGGAGCTCACCGTCTCGCGAGCCGAACAGATTTCTCGCGACGCGCTCAACAAATTGAAATCCGTCTCAGCCGCGACCGTCGAGGCCGAGCGCGAGTGCGAGCAGCTTCGAGCTAGTCTTCATTCATTGGGAGAGATCAACGCCAAGCTCACTCGCCGAATCATCGACGGTGAGCCTTTCGTGTTGGACGACGAAGTCGTCGATCGCTCGGGCGCTCGTGTGCGCTCGCCCGTTTCGGAGATGAGCGTGAACACGCCGTCTCCGCCGGCACAGCGGGCGCGCAAAACGGGACCGTCCTCGACTGGTTCTGTCCGTTACGCTGCACACGATATTCAAAAAATCCACCGCGAGCTCGAGGCTGAGCTCGCCAAACTCCGCGTGGAGCATGACGCTATCGCTCGTGAGATTGGTGCCTCCGCCGCGGCTGAGGGAGAGATGCTCGCCCGAGCGCTTCAAGACGCCCAGGAGCGCATGGAGGCCAAGGCACGTCAGGTGAAACTCCTGAACTCGTCGAATAGAAACGCTGCGCCGTGAGGACCGATTAGAGACGATACCGATTGTACGATGTAACCGAATAGAGAAATGACAAGTGACTCGTGAATCCTTCGCGCCACTCACCGACGCCGTCGATGACCATGCAAGCGTCGTTCCGTCGACGTGCCATAATCTCTCTCAACGCAACGGCGATCACCAGAGACGAGGAGAAAGCGTCGTCATCCGGGCGAAGAAAAGAAGATCATGATTCGCAATCGAAACAGAAATTTTCACGAAACGACGCGTCGAACTCTCGTCCGCGCGCGCTCTTCTGCGTGCTCGCGCTCGTCATCGCCGCGAGCGTGTTGGGATCTTACGTGCACGATCGCATGACGGCAACGGGACGGTGGCTGACGACAACGAGCGATCAGCCGTTGGTGACGCGGAGCGACGACTTCTTATCTGACGAGGAGTTTGAAAGCCTTCGAAAGTGCGCCTTGGAGCACCCGAAGTTACACGTGGCGGGCGAACTCAACGGGGAGACGTTCGGGAAGACGCGAGGGTTCGTATTAAAGTTTAACGAGGATGGGGTGGAGCGATTTCGGTCCAAGAAGGAGTACGCGTGCTTTGTGGACGTGTTCGATCGCTTGCGAGCACCGTTGACGAACGCCTTCGTGATGAATGTGTTGTTGTGCGAATTGCAAGATTATAGTGCGTACGACGCAAACGGAATGGCGGTAGGATTGCATCTGGACGATACGGTCGGCATCTTCAGTAAGCACGAATTCGTCGCGCACCAAGTTTCGGTGCTCTACGTCTCGGTTCCTGAAGATATGGAGGGTGGCCAACTCGAACTGTTTCCGTATGGAAATGGCTCGACCCCCGAGAACGTCGAACCGACCGAAGCGGTAGAACCGAAGGAAAATCTCATGGCCACGTTTCGCGGCGACGCGTTTCATCGCGTTAGGGCGTACCGCACGCGATCCAAGCGAGAGCGCGTCTCGTTGGTGTTGGAGCAATACCACATCGGCGACAATCACTACCCGAAAACAATCACGTTCTCCGAAAGCCTCAAGTCCAACATGACGATGGACGTGTAAAACATATGTGCTAGATGCCCACGCACGATTTCAAAAACCGTTTCGACGCCGTCGAGCGCCATCGAACATCCGCTCGCGCTCGGTGGTTGCGTCGCGTTCCAGCGCTCGTCACAATCAGCCATGCGCGACCGTCGTCCGCGCGCGCGTCCCGTCAAGAGCGCGCTCGGGCGATGTATATTGCCCGTGTGCGTCTTCTTCGCTCTCTTTTGGCTCTCGCGCGCGTCGTCAGAGACGGAGACGGGGACGATTACGGCGTCGGGCGCATCGTTATCGAAATCTTCGACATCGACACAGAAGCGCGACGCTGGATCGTGTGACGTTCATGCGCCGACGCGGTTGAGACAGCGCGAGCGCAGGGAACGTTTATTCGGATGGGGTCGAGCACAGGGCGCTCTGCGCCTTCTTCGAGGGGACGGCATTGAGATCAAGTTGCGCAACGCGGGAAGAAGCGCGGGACGAGGCGCGGTGAATAGACTGGATAAATACGGATTCTTCGTCACGGATCCGGTCCTGAGCGAGAGCGAGGCGGACATCACAAGAGCGCATCTATTGGATCTGTTGCGATCTTCGAAGACGTACGCGGAAGATGAAGGATGTCTGGGAGATTTGGCGGACTGCACGGAGCGGTTCGATTTGTCGCTTCGTCTCACGAAGACGGTTACGCGAGCGGTGAACTCAATCGTGTCCAAGCTCAAGCCGGCGCTCGTGGAGATATTCGATAGTGAAGATGCCGAGCTCGTGGAGTTGAGTGCGCTCATCACGTGCGCTGGTTCGCCGGAGCAGCGCGTGCACAGCGACGCGGATAGCATTGGAAATGGCGACCGTCTCATCAGCGTGTTCGTCTCGCTCCAGGACACGACGGCCGATTTGGGACCGACGAACGTATTTTTCAACTCACCGAATCCCATTACCGACTTTGATTATTTCTCGGCGTCACAAATGTTAAGGCGCGTCGCCGAGGAACTGAACAATACGGATACGATTCGCGAACATGGATTGGGAGACTTGTACATAAATGCGACTGGAATGCTTGACATCACGAGCGAAGAGGGCGTAACCAAAGCAGAACTCGATTTCTTCAACGCACATGTCCGCGTCGATGAGACAGATAACACGATCGCATTCTATCCGCCATGGAGTGATGCGGCGAGTGATCGCCTTATCTTGGGCGTCGTCGGGGCCACGCGCCAGGGGTCAGCGTTAGTGTATGATTCCAGAACAAGTCACAGGGGAGGGCGAAACACGCGCGGCGCGCGCGTGCAGCTTATGTTTAGTTTTCAGTCCAAACGCGCGTTAATTTCTGGATCGACGTTCACGATGCGCCGCCGGTATCAGAGGGTCGAGCGATTGCCATTAACTCTCATACAGCGCGCCACAATGCGAGCTTTTGGGCAAGAGTTCAAAACGAGTCCCAAAGCTGGCGCCTGGACGCTTCGAACCGGTGGTAAGATTCGTCTGCGGGACTTCCCCTTGCGCCCCGACGCGAGCGATAGAGAGCGTGAATGGGTCAACGAAGACCTCGTGCGCTCCACGAACAACGAGCGAGACTTTGACGTAGACGGTCTGCATCTTGACGGCGCGGATATTTAGAGTAGACATGTAGTAAGGTAGTACCGGTACCGGTATCGGTAGAGTTGGCCACGTATTTGGAAAAACTTCATGACATCGATTTCACTATGTTGCTATGGGGTTTCGTCTGTCCTAGGTCGAATCGTCGCCGCTGCTACCGCGTTTATTCATCGAGCAAGTAGTAGCTGTTCGCCGCCTTTTGTTCGGCGTCGAGCTGCGATTGGAACTTGTTGATACGCGGGCGGTAGTTGGTGGGATCGCGGCGGAACGTAATTTCGAGCGCCTTCAAGAACATGTTCATACCCGTGAGCAGCGACTGTGGCGCGTGCGCCGTAGCCTCTACGGCGGGCACACCAGAATACACGACAACCTTGTCTGCGAGATAGGTGGCCATGATGAAATCGTGCTCTACGATGAACGCTACCTTCTTCGCATGCAAAATGAAACGCTTTATCACCTTGGAGGCAGACACACGCTGTTCTGCGTCCAAGTAAGCCGACGGTTCGTCGATGAGGTAAATGTCCGCGGCCGTTCCCATGCACATCGCCAACGCCACACGCTGCAATTCACCACCGGAGAGATCCTGCACGGCTTGGTCCATCAGTGGATCGATGTTCATCGGCTTCATGACGTCGGAAATGAACTGCGGGTGCACGTAAGCGTCACGAATCTTCTTGTGCAAGAGCTCTCGCACAGTGCCCGGAAACTTGGGCGCGATCTTCTGCGGCTTGTACGAGACGTTGAATTCTGGGAGTTCAATTTCCTCGTCGTCCGGTTGAATCAAACCGGCGATGAGACGAATGAACGTCGTCTTGCCCGTACCGTTTTCTCCAAGTAACACGACGATTTCGCTATCGGTGAACTCACCTGCCTCGACGTTGAGCTTAAAATCACCTTGAGTCTTCACCAACGCCGGGTATTCGTATCGAGAGTATGAGTCATCGCCGCCAATCAAGTCGTCTTGGGCCGAAACCTTGAAGGTGAGCGCCTCGTCGCGGAAGCGCAAGTTTTCCGTCGGCACGAAACCGGCGAGAAAAATGTTGATGCCTTCGCGAACAGAGAATGGCATCGTGACAACGCCGTACGCCCCTGGCTTACCGTACAGGCAGCAAATGAAATCGGAAAGATAATCAAGCACAGACAAATCGTGTTCGACGACGATGACGTACGTGTCGTTCTTCAGCAATGATCGAATCACTCGAGACGCTTTGAGGCGCTGCTTGACGTCCAAATATGACGACGGCTCGTCGAACATATAAATGTCCGCCCTTTGGCACGCGATGATCGCGGTGGCGAAACGCTGAAGCTCACCACCGGACAACTGCGCAACCTGGCGTTGCATGACGTTTTGCAAATCCAACTGCTCGATGAGAAAATCCAAGTTGTCGAGCTCGTTTCTGTCGCTCAGGCACTGCTCAACCTCCCCTCTCACCGCTTTCGGAATATTATCGACGTACTGCGGCTTGATCAGCGCCTTCATGTCGTCCTCCAAAATCTTAGTGAGATAGTTCTGCAGTTCTGACCCGCGGAAGTGATTGAGAATGTCCGTCCACTCTGGCGGTTTCGAAAAGTTACCCAGGTTCGGCTTGAGCTTCCCCGCCAAAATCTTCAACGCCGTCGACTTACCGATCCCATTCGTCCCCACCAAACCTAAAACCTGCCCCGCCCGCGGCGTCGGCAATCTGTGCAGCTTGAACGTGTTCGGCCCGTACCGATGCGTCGTCTCCTTCTCCAGATTCTTTGGCAGGTTAATAATAGTCAGCGCCTCGAACGGGCACTTCTTCACGCAGATCCCGCATCCGATGCACAGTTCTTCCGAGAGGAACGCTATCTTATCCTTCGGCGAGACCTCGATGCAGAGCTTGCCCACTTTCACCACCGGGCACGATCGCTTGCACTCCTGCTTACACTTCTTGGGTCGACATTTTTCTGCGTTGACGATGGCGATTCTGTCGAGCTTGTCGTTCGCATCCGCGGCTTCGTTCTTCTTCCCCATCGCGCGCGTCTCAGGCGACGCCGCGTCGGGGCGCCGTCGACCACGCGCGGGGGCGAGTGCGGAGCGAGCGGGCGATCGATGATGGAAAACCCCAAACCTTTCCAAACCCTCCGTCGGCGTCGCGCGACGGACGCACAGGTTACAATCTGTCTAATCAGTCGACTTCGGGGCACGAGAGCAAAACGAGGAGCTCGTCGTCGCGAATGGCGCCGTGTACGTCAACGGCGACGTCGAACGGGGTCTTACCGCGACCGTTTCGACGAAGCGGATCGGCGCCGCGGCGTATCAATACCTTGGCGAATTCGGCTCTCTCGTGTCGCATGGCGTAGTGCAGGGTGGTGTCCTCGGTGTAAGGACCCTCAACGGCGTTGAGATCGAAGCCGTGGTGAATCAGAGCCTCTACGATGGCAAATCCAGCATCACCAGCGTCGCAAGCGGCTGTGAGCATGATGTAATCCATCTTCACGCGGCATCCCGCGAGTAAAATTTCCATGACGCCGACAAGATTTTTGTGATTGATCGCCGTCAGGAGCTGCGATTCCGTCGGCGGGGCGCTGCGCTTGCAGAACACTCGAGCGACGTACTTCTCGAGGATGAAGGCCTTGCGTATCTCCAACGACGAGTGCGGCTTCGGTTTTCTCTCCGCTCGCTCGTGTGCTTGCAATTCGGCTTCCCAATGTGCGTTTGCCTCTGTGTTACCCCAACGCTTAAAGAACTCGAGCGTACTTCGATCCCAAGCGCGCACGTCCAACGTGGCGCTCCGTACCTTACTCACTTGTACCCCGAGTTGACGGTGCACACCACTGCATTGTAGGCACATCATGACTCCGAGATTGAGCGACGCCCAGTCTGGTTCGGGCATCGAGCACTCCGCGCACTTGTCATTACCGGGAATTTGGCTTAGAACGACGATCGGTGCGGGACCTTCCGGCGCGGACATCCCGGATGCCGAAGATATCGATCGCGAGTGTTTGCTTCCGTATTTTCTCGTGCGCTCTTCGTGATCAGCCATGACTTGTTCGTTCACGCTCGAGTTTAACAAGTTCGCGATGGCAGTCGTAATGGCCTCAATCCACTGCGTTTGCTCAGCCGCACTCTCGGCCCGTAAAAAGAATGTTCGCTCCGGTGACACGATGCGAAACGCGTGTCGAACATGAGGCGACGCGTCTTCCCCTAGATCGGGCTTGATGGTCGACGTCAGGAGGGACACCGTCTCCTTGACGTCGACGCCATTGCCTTCTGACACGGCGTCTTGATCCTTCGGCCGACGCGAGAGCGAGCGAGCCAGCGTGCCTAGTCCCCCGAGCTTTCGCCCTGGATGTGACGGCGTCGACTTGACGTACGTCAGATTTCCTCGCGTGTCCAGGACGAAGAACCTGCGCTTCCAATCCTGAATCTTCCCGCTCGACCGCTTGAGTAAATAGCCTTGCATGAGCGGCTCCTGATCGGATGAACCGTAACCAGCCGCCGAGGACGCCATCTGCGCCGAGAGCGCTCTCGATCGATCGCTCGACAACGAAAG